ACAGGGCTTTGCAGCATCTTGCCAAGCCAGCACGCACAGAGCCTGCCCAAATTGCAGGCCCAGCTCAACCCAGCTGCGCTAGTAACAGTCAAGGAGCACGCTGTGTAGCAAACTTTCAACAACATAAGGTTGAACAACATGCCGACAATGCTGTTAAATTGTTCATGCACCATTAACATAAAACCGCCATGGCATCCACAAGAATACGAGGATCGCGGAAAGGTTCCTGCGAACACATTTGCCGCACACGTTGCCACACGAGCACCCACACTACGACCCAGAGCGGGCTGAAAGGATACAATAACCGCCTTGAAAGACACGGCAGGGTCACAAGAAATTCCACCTGGCCAACCCCAAAAAGCCAACCAGAGTGTGTGCAATTTCTATCAAACGTGTTTGGCGTAACAAGCGCAAAAGGACATCAAATGTGCATCACAAATTCTTTTGGATTTTGACAATCAATTTGTCCTCCAAAACACACCTGCGTAAGCCATCGCGCCCGCAAATTCCCTCTCTCCCGTTGAGGTTCGTCATCGCTTCCCGGGGCCGCTTGCGTGCAACCTGCTGGAAGTTCTCGTGGACTTGAACGTGAGTCTCTTGCATCACGCGTGCCGCCAAAGCGCCTCAGAAACATCCAGGCCACGAACGCGGAGGCGATGCAAGTGGTCCATCTGGTCCCGTCTTGGGGTTTGCAGGAACACAACTGCGAATGGCAGGGAGTTGCGGCTTCTCGCTCACTTCGGCACGCGCAGAACCTGTCCAAGTAACAGGCCCAGTTCAACCCAGCTGCGTTAGTACCAATCAAGAAGCACGTTGTGTAGCAAATGTTTTGCCCCACCCATTCTCCACGGAGCTTGCGGTGCCAGCTTCGGTCTGGTTTGTGCCGACAGGCCGCCAACGTGGACTGGCCGCGCCCCTGAACTCTGTGGCCGGGCTCTGAGGCCGGGTCTTGTCCTCCTCTTGCGTTCTGTTGTCCTGCTCTTCTCTTGTTTTTTCTCGTGGCCAAACGATTGGCGATGTCGATGCCGACAAAGAGGATTGATAAGGCAATGGGCTAGGAACCTGGCCACAGAGTTCAGGGGCGCGGCCAAGACAAGGACAAGAGGAGGACGTAGGAGGACAAGACCTGGACACAGAGCCAAGCCACAAAGTTCAGGGGCGCGGCCAAGACGGGGACAACAGGAGGACAAGAGCCGGACACAGAGCCAAGCCACAGAGCCCAGCCACAGAGTTCCTGGGCGCGGCCAAGCCAAGGACAAGAGGAGGACAAGACCCGGACACAAAGATGGGCCACAGAGACCAGCCACAGCGTTCATGGGCGCGGCCAGTCAGTGTGGCCAGCTCTCTTTTTCCTAGGATAGATCCCCAACAGCAAACTGTGTGGGGGATAACTGAAGTAAAACCTTCTCAAGAAAAGTCCTCATATGGTTCACGGCGCGAAGACAAAACCTGTTCCGATGGCAAGAACACTTCACTAGCCTAGACAAGAGCATGTGACAATCCATGGAAAATTTTAGTTTTCCACAGATTGAAATCTTGGAACACATCTTGATGCCCCCAACAAGATGATTGAAAATTTCTGACCACCAAAAGATGAATATCACGAAAGGAACGCTCTTATTCCTCGAGTCAAGAACGGTCAACACCCTCAAGTACATTTTTCTATCACGCAGACCCTTCAATAATATTTTCTCAAGTCAAGAACCGTAAACATCCTCAAGTACATTTTCTCCCTCAAGGAGACGCCCTCAAGAGTACGGTCCACGACCAGATGTCACTTAAACATGTTGATTCCGTGGGAGCATATTAGGTTGTATTGGCAGTTGCTTTGGGAAGGGCGAGCGGTGATTCAACCGCTTTTTTCAGTCCGTGGCCCATCCTTTGGTGCAAAGGGTTTTGGGATGTTTTGGGCAACGCTACTTGCGCCAACAGGGCCGATGAAAAGCAAACACGCACCTCCCTCTCAGACAGTTGCGCCGCATCAGCAGCATATATTTACATAAAATGTTGCGCGCGCGCGGCCCCAAACATGATTGCAGTCGGCAAAATTTAGCAAATGATTGGTGAGAACGGGCCTGCTGTGACCTGGTCGCATCCGCAGTTCCACGACTCCATGCACTTCTTTGGCACTGCAATATTTGCTTGCACTAGTGAGGAAAATATAGAAGAATGGTGCACCCTCATCCAAAACACACCAAACCTGATCATCACCCCATATGTGACAACAAGCCTCAAGTTGCATGTGGTGCCCAAAGCAACAACAGCGTGATGAACATGGTTAACCGTGCAACTGGGCGTCACAGCCAAACTCGTGACAGAAAGTGTTAGCATGTTTACCCGTGAAAGATGTGTCGCATTGTTGACAAGACGGGTAGTTTGGGCAGGTTGGCCACAACAAATTAGCATGGACCGCGGGATGCACATGCGCCTCTGGCAATGAAAAATTGAGCGTGCGTAGCATTATGATAGCCATGTTGAGGCGCAGCGTTGGTGACCAATAAATTGTGCACATGAAGGGCCATGCTGGAAATTTGTCGTCATGAAGTTGCCAGTGGCCAAAATGGAATGCATATGGCTACTAGCCAGCCCAAAGCATGCTAGGAAAGAACCTAAAATCAATGACTGTCCTGGAGAAAACAGTAATTTGCAAATATTGGCGGGCTGCATGAATGAGAGTGCTGCATTGTGCCTGTTGGACGGGTGGTCAACGCAATCGCTCATTTGGACAAATCGGCAGCATGGATGCGCGACTATGCTTGACTATGCTGTTGAGGTCTCAACCGTGGGCTGCAAAGAGCAAACGCCTGCTCAAAACGAGGTATTGTCGCCACGGTCGCGTGAAACACTTGCGCGTAAAACACGTCATGTGCCAATACGAATCATGTGGCATGCCTCCAAAAAAACTATGCGTGCCCACGGGAAAGCAGCACTTCCCAATGCTCGCGCGAAGGTTCGGGCGAGCAAACGTTCCCTAACAAATTGCATCCCCTTGACGATATCCTCTATTAAATGGGGAGGGTTCACCCTCCATATATTGAAAAAGAGGAAACTCTTTGTGCATGATGTCGCCACTGCTTTCCATTACTTTCCTGAAGCACTTGCAAGACGGTAAAATCTGCTCATTAACAAAAAAATGGACATGATGGTTCCAGCGTTTTATGTCTATAAAGCGTTTGGACCCCCCCACTCATACTGGAATGGTGATCAAATTGCAATTTTGCGGCTTCAGGAAGGGCGCGAAAATCAGAAAAATGTTTTCAGGCTTAGCCGTCACACCCTTGGCACAAGCGCTTTGGTTCCAAGCAGTGCCTTCCCAGTTTGTGTAGTTTGTCCGCATGCTAAGTGAGCTGTGTCCTGTCAAACCGGTTTGGTTTTCCAATGCTGTTTTTTGCCCGCCGACGTGTAGCGGAGCAGGGTCGTAGCATGGTTGTTATTTTTTGGTGCAGAGACATCCTGCCCGGAACATGGAAGGCACGCCCCGGCTTTCGTTCTGCATAGAACATGTTGTGTGCGGCCAAAAAGATGGCCAATGAACGCAGGAAGCAAGCACATTGAAACATCATGATATCCTGGTAGCGTACATACATGCCACTGCTTGCGGCCTTGCTGCGTATAAAACGCCTTGCGCTGGTTTGGCGACGGCTCCAGGCGCAGCAGCTTAGTTGCGTTTTGCGAAGTGTGTGCATTTGCCTGTGGTTTTGCTGCACCTAAACTGTGTTTTGATTTGTTTTGCAGTGCATGCGCAGAGTCCGTTGCAACAAAAATGGCGCCGAAACGTTTTGTTTGCGGTTGCTGTGTAATGGCTCTTGTGCTGCCTAACCTAACCACACTGCTTCGCAAAAGAGACAACAAGCAGGCCACACTTGCAATACTTGTAGGGACGTCCTGCTGGGAACGTGTTGGTTTAGCGCAAAACCTTTTTTATGGAACGCAACACGAATGTGTTGCAACGGCGAAGGAAAGCAAACACCGAGGGGTCTTGCTAGGCACGTGCAACTGTTTGTGGCCACGCAAACGTGTGCATTCCAAGGTGGCATGCTGACGATGCGTGTGCTTGAGGGTTCCAAGGCGGCATTCAACTCATAGCACTAGACGGCACCAGAGGCAAACCGCGCACCAATCTGCCCAAACGATTGGGGCCCGGAACGGCGGCTCAACTCTACACATGTGAATACTGTTGGAACAGGCATCTGGATAAAAAAAATTGCACCAAAGGAAAAAACAAAATATACCAAAACATAGAGGACCCTTCAAAAAGTACGTCTTCGAGTCTAGCGGTCCCCTAGGCCTTTCGGTCTCTTGGTCCACTCGGTCTCCTGGATTGGTTCTTTGGTCATTTCTAAAATTCTAGCACCATGAGGCGAGGTGTCTATTTTTCTATTGGTTTATGTAGGTGCAACTACATGCGAACCCTGTTTTGTTTTCGTTGAAGGCGGAAATATTTTTGTCCAACACTTTCGTCCCACATGCCCGTCCGCTCGTCCTCTATTGTCCCGGAGTTCATTGTGGCATTGTTTTGCCCCCCAAAAAATTAGATCCTTTTATCGCCGTGTTGGTGCTGCCCTTTTCCCACTCAGTGTTTCTGTGTTTGATCCCTGTCGATTATTTTGTTTGATTGATGTTTTTTGATCCCTCACAAAATGCGCAGGAATATTACGGATGCTTGGGTGAACGTGAGAAAAACAATCAAAACATGCTGACAAAGAATTGTCAGTTTTTGGATTGTTACGGTTGGCATGGATGAAGGGTGCAACCTTGTATCGACAACCGCCGATTGTGCAATTTCCGATTTGGGCTCGAGGGCGAAACCATGCGTTCGTCCAAGCGGTATCGAACATGATTTTATTTGTTTTGGAAAGGCCGCCGGCCTTCACCACACACGGGTCCAATGTTGGGACACGACCTGGAAACCCAAAGCCAAAGTGTGCAGGGTCAAAATTGAGTGCGCTGCGCACGCGAAATGTTGTCAAGTTGTGATCTAACAAACGTGGTATTCGCTACTAATCTTAGTGGGGCCACTGAAATCCTCCGCTGGCATGCGCCTTTCTCTTTCATGTACGTCGCCCTATGTCGCCCTTGTGGCCAGTTGTGGACATGGATTGACTACGGGCTCGCACCTCGTGGATTGACGGCAGAACCACCCCTTCGCGTCCAACCGCGTCCCGCTCCGGGCGCAGGCCGGTAGCTCCACGGTGCAGGACTTGAGCCTCTCTATTCACAGGAAAGCTGTTTCTCCGGTTGCGTCGACACTTTGCTGCAACAGGGCTTGCAAGAACCCAGCATAACCCAGCTATATTATGTGATGTTGTTGTTTTTGTGTTGTTTTCTGCATGAAGCATATGGATATGTGCATGGAATGCACTCACCATCTGGAGGTTGATCATGAGATTTGCAATCTTACCATGCCAAGCTGAGGGGAACAACTTTACCGACACGGTGGTGATGGTAAGGCGTCCTCGGTCTCATGTCTACTCCATGTACCAGGCAGACCGGTGAACTTTACAGAGAGGTTTTGAGCAGCTGGGTTTTCCAATTATTTCTATTTTCATAAAGTTTAAGCGTGTTCCACGTTAGTTTGCATTTCGCAGTCTTGACAAATGCAAAAATGCGGTTTGTTTCTTGTTTTCCAGCGTGCGAGCCGGAAATGGAATCAATTCTGTTCCCGGGTCTTCCTTGCATGAGGTAAACTACAAGCAATCCCCGGGCAGAAAAATCATCATCTCGGCAACTTCACTGGATGGGTGAACGAATGGCGCGACCGGCCACGCTTCGGTCACCTGGGCCTCGGTGCTGTGCACGAAAAGATTGATTTTGATTTTAGTTACACCTGGAAGACTAACATGGACCCTGAAAACCACTGGTTGGTTGAGGAAAGCACTCTTCTAGGGGGCCATTGTCAGGGTCCATCTTAGTTTTCGGGAGAAGTGTTTATATTATTATTGATTTAATTATATGTTTCTCGGATGGAGATGGATGTAGGTGGTAGACTGGGTGCTTGTGAAGATTCTGTCCCTACAACCTGCAGACCGATCCGGCTGGTATGCGACAGATCATCGCCTTATCCATCCGATCCGGTGGTGTGAGATACTGCTATGGCGACCCTGGCGACCCACGGGGCCATGAGGAATTTAAATGCCGCAACAGCACTGGGGGTGACAGAAGCATACCATGAGTCCGTGTGCCTGTTCCACGCACATTTCCTGAACTCGCTTCCGGCCCATTGCAAGTGCCAGAACCCAGAGGTTTGGGTTTCTTACGTGGCCACCGATGCAGCGTATGGAGTGAGCTACGGCAGAAGCATTGACGATATGCCTGAAGAGGTCCTTGAGAAAGTGGATGCGATGACACTTGATCGAGCAGCGGTGAAGCGCTTCATGGCTGATGTACAGAAAGTAGAGGATCAGTTCGGATCAAAGATCCTGTGTGATGGATAGCTATCAGAGCTGAATCAAACTTGCCGGGTGACTGTCCAAAAGGGATGGCAATGCCTTGTGGCACTGACATTCAAGTGTTTATTAAGAGAGAGGTTGTGGTCATGAGGCGGCACTGGATAGTTTATGCCACTTGCAGCAGTTTGATTTGGTATGGGGGGCCCTTCTGCCATGGCAGATCATGGCAGCAAGTTTTGAGATTTTTTTCTGGATGCCAGGTTTGAGTTGGTCAATAAGCTTCTGCATTCAGTTTCATGAAGAATGCTGCGCGGAAGACCCGCCCACAGAATCGCTTTGGCCAGTTGGATGCCACACCAGGCTTCGGTTCAAGGAACTTCCCGGTGAGAAAACAAGAGATGTTAACAGCAGGAATGTGGAAGCTACCCTTCTGCCCTCCAAAGTGTTATTACCGTCAGTAAATGTTTAAGGTAGGTCTGGCCAAGAATGGTCCAGTTTGTATTGAGAACCGATGACAGGGAGGCCGTAAGTTTAATCTGTTAGTTATTCTGTTGGGCGGGATTGCGGGGGTAAGGCTGTGTGCTGGGCAACTGTCACTGGCCACAAGACCTCTTTGTTGGTTCCTTTGTTCGTCACAGCCGTGTGCGTCAGACCCACAGCCCATTCAACTCATGGCTAGCAAAAAGAAGCAACAAAGTGCCACCAAGGGCATTTGGCGCATCATTGCCGGGTCTCAGCAAGACTCACTCCTCAGGTGAGAGATCAACCAAGCCATGTTGGAAGTCGACTTCATCCTTGTATCTTTTCCATTTTGCACCGCTCGTGGCCGCCATGTTTGGGATGGGCATGCCTCGCATGCCTTTGCCGCGTGCGCGTCCTCCACCCTCCTGGGGCGCGATGGGAGCCTCCCCGGCCGTGGGAACCGCGGGAACCGCGGCGCTCCCGAGTGCCGCGTCCACGGCCACGGCCCTGCCGGTGGGACGGATCGACAATGCGGCGGCGGTATTGAATTCGCGCCCCGAGTGGGCGCCCCCGACTTTGGAGCCCAAGGACTCCATGGGATTCGTGTGAAGTAATGTGACAAATCTGGAACTCGTGTGATTTTTGTGAGTGCTCCTGGACCACCGAAACATGTTAAGATCTTGCAGGTCCTACAAGGGGGGGTGGGAAGTGATCGTGTTTCTTAAAATAAGTTTGACACTGTTTGACAGCCTGTGACCCTCATGATTCTTCGGAGACCATTCGTTTTGGCGACGCCAGGACTTCTCGGAGCTGGATTCAAAGAGCCAGCTACTGTGGCAGCAGCATGAGCATTATGCCCTGGAAGAGGCCCACATGGAACTAAGAACCACTGGGTTGTAGAGGAGAATGGCCTTCCAAAGATCAGTTTCAGGTTCCATGTTAATCTTTCCGGGTGTAAGACCACCGGATATAGAGACGTAGAGACATGTCATAGATTCGAAGTTGGTTTGGTTTGGAACGGTGTGAAGCAGGGCAGCCCACTGCATTTGGAGTTGGACGTTTTTGAGGTTGAGGATCTAGAAGATGAGCTGATGAAGGTTCTCGCCACACCTTTTTTTGACCACAGCCAGTGGCCCAGGTTGGCACTGTTTTGCCAGAAGAAGCTCGGCCAAGTCTTCAAGCAGACGGATGCTTGACTTGAAGTGTTGCCCCGGGCACCAGAAAGACTGGGAGGCTGAACGGGATAGCATTCCGAGCGGTGGAAGAACGTGACGCCAAATATGGCATGTCAGGGGTCCGTTTGTGAAAGACTTTCGCAAAACATGGTTGTTGCTAGCAATCGTTCAGTGACGTGTTCAATATGTGTTTTTTCCAGCTGCCTAGAAATTTGAATGAGTTTATCTAGCTGCTAGCTTGGGTTTCGCTTGAGCTTAGCAACGCCTGCACAAAGCTGCCACCAAAGTCATCAGACATCTTCCAATACATCCAGTGATTTAGTTGATCCATGTCTTTGTATTATAGATTGAGAAGGCACCTCTAGTCTCCTTGAGTTTGGTCTCAATTGACTTCCCAGACCCGGGTGGTGAGCCATAAGTTTTTGAAGTGGTGATGGTTTGGGGGGGTGCATTTCTTGGTGCCCTTTCAAGGCCTCAGCAGTGCCGGCTGCACTGCTGCCTCGCTTCGTTGTGACGTTGATTCGTGGTGAATGGTTCAGTGGTTCTTTGGATTTCTGACTATTCCAGTCAGACCTTAGGGAGCAAACACTGTAGAGCCTTTGGGGCGAGTTAAATTTTTATACCGGCACTAATAATGATGTATGTGTGTGTGTGTGCGTGTATTCATCTATAGATATTGAGGTAGATAGTGAGGCTAGGATCGTCTTCGGTTGAAGCTGTGGGTGCAGTTTTGAACACTACAGGAGCAACTAACCCATGGCCACAGATAGAAGGTGACGTGTCCCAAACGAAGCGGGCCTTGCTAGTGATTCAGGCAATCAGAAAGTCTTGTGAAATTCAGGACATCAGCTACGTGAATAACAAGTTCGACATGGGCTTTCAGTCGATTGCACTTTGGCCTGGCTAGTGCAGGGTTGCGCAGGGTTGCGCCAATGTTTTTACTGGTGGTGGCTAGCTTTGAACCTTCCCTGCAAGATCCACATCTGAGGTGAAATTGACTTGCCTTGGTGGCCAAGAATTCGCCGGCGAACTCCAGACAACTGCGTCACAGGCCGGGAAGGGTGCATGGAAGGACGAAAACCGCGGCAAGGATCCTTTGATGTTCATCCTCAGGCAGAGCAAGCAGCGGCAAAGCAAGCTATGGAAGCATTCAAGGCCTGTTTTGTGGGGTTCATGCACTTCTTCTAGTACTTCGTGTTTGCTTATTGGGTGCAAAGACGCAAGTGTCATGTCAGTGGCCTTGTTGGCAAGTTTCTTAGGGCATACTTTAGGCTATCTAACATTGGTGCCCGCAGCCCCTTCTTGACATGTCATTGCCCAATAGTTGTTTTCCCAATAGCTTCGGTGCACCCGTAGCATCATCAGGTCTATTGCACATTCCGAAATGTTGGCACATGTTGGCACCAGCCGGAGTCGGAGAAACTTCCCTTCCTAATGACCCGATGCTGAGAAAAGCACAATCCAATTTTATATATATTTATAGAGAGAGAGAGAGAGGGAGAGGAGAGTCCAGAAGATATGCTTCATCATAAGTAGTGGATAGCGAGGCTGCAGGATGACAATACGTTCAGCACTGGAATCCGCACCTCTGAAGCGGTGAAGGCATTTTTGGACCCTACAAATTCGACCTCGAGTTGACCTCTATGACTCCGCTGAGTGGACTCTAGAGGATTCGACCGAGAAACGGAGTGGACTCAGCTCGGAAGTGACGCCAGGAGGAAGTCACACAGCTTGGTTTGGATCGCATGAGCGCTGCGCAGGCCGATGCGGACGTCGCTCGGGTGGGCCGTGGAAGACGTCACAAGTAAAGACATGGACTTGGTGGGTTCGACGGTTACAGCATGGCAGAAACAACGGTACAGTCACCAAAAGACAACATAACACAACCTGAAGAACGCCAACACGCTCGCTCAATCCTGGATCAGCATGACCGGGCGGTCAGTCTTTCTGGGGGGGGGCCATCAAAGTCTGGCATTTTGGTAATTACCTATGTCCATATGCTTGGGCGGGTTGCAAAAGATAGCCAAACTTTTGTTCATTGCTGCAAGTGATCACCAAGATATGCATTGGCTTTGCTTACATCTCTCGAGTCTTTAGTGTTGAGTGCAACATGTGAAGGCCTCCAAGAAGAGAAAAGGTGCAGAGATCGAACCCGGCGTGAAGAAACAGAGGCTACTTCCTGGCATGCCTGTGCCCTAGTCTTCTCACTTTACCACTTTCGTGTCCCTGCCATTGCTTTTTCGTGTCCCAAGCGCGCCGAGATTGGGTGAGCCTGGACGGGTGGCAGCTGATGCGGGCGTGGTGAACACCACCAGCAAGATGGAGCTCAACACCCACTGCTCCAAGATTGTTCGTAGGGTGATGGAGAAGTCAGCCATTTGGACTGCAGCAGGAGAAATTGATTCACCCCTCACCTGGCCAGAGCAACAATGTCTAGGGTCTACGGCCTAGATGGGCCCAGGGTATGCAAATGGATGTTTGCCGCATTTATTCCGAAAGCAAGCCTAGACATGTTGATGTGGTGCCCCTCTTTTGAGCCTTTCTCTTTGCCGGGAGTTTCTGGCCTAAGGATGTCACCTATGAAACCGATGCAGTGATGGAGGGCGGCTTCCAGACCAAACTCAGGCCGGTCGTTGGTGCTCAGGCCATGGCGAGCCTGGACTGGGTGCCTTCGCCCACCACATGAACCCACGGAAAACTAAGAACATATCGACTGAAACCTGTGGGTTCCTGGGTCTTCTGGTAGCGACATCCACATTAATAAATAGATCAACATAATAACCCAAGATCTCCGAAGATCATCATTCACCTATGACCGGAGCCTCTTCTCCGTCCAGCCAAATCGCTCACGCGCGAAAACGCGAAGAACTGCGACAGGCTCAGCTGTTTGCCTGGCTTGTGGGGGAGCAGAGTCTTCGTGGGCGAGGTCTGGAGAGCTGTGGATCCGACGGTCAGACGTCGGTTCCGTCCCTCGTGGGGCGCCCGACCGGTTCCCCAGGTCCAAGCCAAGAAGGGTGAAGCGGAGCAAAGCGTCGCGAGCATCGCCCTGGCAGCGATCCAGAGCGATGCCGACTTGATGAGTCCTGCACTGAGTGGACTGAGCAGAGCCGGTGGACATCGGTGCACGCTACGAACGGAGCAAAGGGCATCGCGACGAACGGAGCAAGGACGCTACGAACGGGGCTCCTGGCATCGCTACTAGGAACAAGAAGCTACTAGGGGCTCCTGGCATCGCTACTAGGAACAAGAAGCTACTAGGGGCTCCTGGCATCGCTACTAGGAACAAGAAGCTACTAGGGGCTCCTGGCATCGCTACTAGGAACAAGAAGCTACTAGGGGCTCCTGGCATCGTTACTAGCAACAAGAAGCTACTAGGGCTCCTGGCATCGCTACTAGGAACAAGAAGCTACTAGGGGCTCCTGGCCTTACTACCAGGAGCAAGGACGCTAGTAACAAGGATGAATGCAGATGCAGAGGCTTCCACCGATGCATCCGAGCCACCACCGACTCTCCGGTCGCGACCCCCCAGGCAAGTTCAGTGCACCGCCCAAGCAGAAAGTTCGACCTCCAGGAATGATGATGACGAAAGGGAAAGGCAAGGGCAAGGCGAGGAAAGAGGTGTCAACTCGCAAGAGCTGGTCACTGTTTCACACTTTGACACCTCACGAACCTACACAAGTGTGCAGCGGGTTGAGGTGGCAGTGGTTTGTTGAAGGACTGGGCGGGCTCCACATGCTAGAAGTGAACACACAGTTGTTGGGACCCTCGGATCATGTGCAGGCTGGAGCAGCAGCGACCAGCTCCAACATGCTACAGCTTCAGGTTTAGATGCCGTGGGGGATTGGTCACATACTGACATATCTTGATACAGCACATATCCACAAAAAACAAGAGGAAATAAGAAGCTGGAATGATTTGATTTCCTGGTGTTGTCTCTTGTCCCTTTGTCGCCTGCGCTGAAGGGGTTCGACTTTGCGGGAGTGATCACATCCGTTCTTGGTTCGGTCCTGTAGGCCAGCGCCTTCAATATGCCTCAGATGCAGGTTGGGCGGTGAATGCACTTCTCGCCACTGACTGTTGGGCGTCCGGTCATTTTTCGACTGTTCGACGTTGCTGTCGGCGGTGCGTTTTTTGGAAAAAGTATTGCCTTACTGAGGCAAAGTTTAGAGATGATGCCCGATAAACATGCTGATCAGATGCTGTGACGTGTTCCTTTTTTCTTGTGGCCGATTCTCCGACGCCCCACAGGTTCTGACGGGACTTGGAATACCTGGCACCGGCTTTTGGTGAAGCCATTGACTTCACAAATTGCCCTGCCAGGGTCGTCTCACAAAGCCTGAGTTGCAATTTTTTTGTCATCTCACGGCTGCATCTTATCAGGAAAAGATCCAAAAGAACTCTTGGTCCTTGACTGGTCCCTGATGCGCACACATTTCACTGTCAAAGACTTGTGAACTCGATACGGCTTGGGGGGCATGGCAGGTGTGACGACTTGCTGCATCCACTCACTCCTCCCTTCAAGATGTGTGTTGATCAAGCATGGTCATGCGCCGCATGCGCTTGAAGCGGACAATAGCCATGGACATCGAAACGTTGATGACTGGCATGGGCACATTGGACAGAATTGGTCTCACTGGCCATCGCTAGCTGATCATGTGCATTCATGAGATGATTTTTACATGTTTTTACTGGTGTATCAATATCACAGATGCGTGTTGCACATGCATGCGGCAAACTGCAAACCCAGTTGAACTGAAGACAACATGGGGGTGACTGAAGATTTCTACAAATCCCAGCACCCTCCAGCTGATACAGAAAGTTGCGAGCAGAGGGTTTGGACTCACCATGTTCAGAACTTGCTTGACATGTGCCCTTGCTACGGCTGCCTGTCAGAAAGTGCCAGCCCCAAGACAATTCCTCGGGTCCGTACCGGGTGAAGACGCCAAGAGCGTATCAAATCGAGATCCGGCAAAGGCGACCTGTCATGGGGGACCTGGATTCCACCTGCATTCACAGATGTCCTTTTTCATGCCATAGAAGACCCATGTGCGGCACATGTGCTGAAGCACAGCATGAGAGGGTTTCCAGCATGGAAGATCCAGGATCGACCCGGACCTTCCACAAAGCAACCGGGTCAGCCTCAGAACAGCATGGGGTTAGTTTCAGAGAACTTCAGGTGCTTTCCGTGGAAAGCCTCTTGGACTTCGAGCGGCATGGCCACACCGTGACCCGTGGCTTGATCTCACCTGAGGACCGATCGACCCGTGGCGACCTCACGTCGGAGCGTGTTGGGTCTCAGCTGCTGAAGCTCGTGTTGATATGAGAAGCTCTGAGCAGCTAGTGTTGAAACGCCAGGACTTCCAGTCACAAGTGCCGGTGCTCCAAAGATATGTCCGGGAGAAGGCGCCGAGGGAATCTGCAGCTTCCACATGTGGCCAGCTCAACTGGTTCGCCTCAGGAATCTGCAGCGGCAGCTCATTCAGCCTTCATCATGTCGGCGCAAGGCATGTGTGCAGATCAAACATGCTTCAACCATGTTCAACCACATGTATTTTGTTATAGATGTTATAGGTCAGTCATGGGCCTCCCAAAGCAGCGAACATGTTGTTATATATATATATATAAGTTTCGGGCCCTTGATGTTCAAAATCCTTTTTTCAAACCAATGCCTGGTGGCTTGTATGTATGACACAGCCGCCAGTCGCCAGGTATGGCAGGCATGGAGCCACCCTTCCTTCAGACCTTCAACCCTCACAGGTGGGGTTCTCCAAGCCTGGGAAAATGGTGAATTTGTTATATATATATATATATCTATAGTATATATATATATGTGTGTGTGTGGAAGCTATTGGAGGTTGGGCTAGGTGTCCCACCTCCAGAACTTGTTTCACAGGCAGCCGATCTCATTGGGGTTTTGCAGTTCTTGCATGCACACACCAGTTGGTGCAAAGTTTTGGATGAATCCCACGCCCCTGTGTTGTGCCCAGCTAGGCTGGCAGTAGCCGGTGTCGGTACCCTTCAGCTAGGATGCATTTGGTGGTGCGCAGTAACTTGGACCTCGCGTGGCTCGAGCGGTTGCAGCAAGAGCACTTTCGGTGAGAGCAGCCGTTATAAGCTGCCCGCTTTTGATACAAGAACATATCTCCTTGCGAGTTTTGATAGGGACAATGCGGAATGATTCCATCACACTATTTATGGGAATGTTGATTGGTGTTGTTACTGATCTTCGTGTCGTTTGAATTTGAGGCACTCCCCAGTCGCTTGGCAGTGGACTTTAGCCCTTCTCTCCGCTGCTTGCGCGCTGCTGGGTACAGAACGTTTGCGCCCTGGCTTTGAACTACTACTCTTCATTCTGAAGACTTTTGGAATACGAGTTTCATGATGTGTATGGCTTGCATCTTCTCCCCACCACTGGCTATTTGATGGAACTCCGGTGACGAGCATGATCTCACATGACCTCGGTGTGTCAGCATGACCTCCCGGTCTCGGGGGTCTCGCGGCCGGTGGGCCCAAGGCGCTTGTATCAGACCTCGCTCTTTTGGAAGCGCCGTGGCCGAGCACTGAGGCGGTCAAAGATCTATCTTAGCGTGCCCACTGGCAGATTTTGGTATAGGAAACCTATGCGGAAATACTGGCAAAATGAAGCTACACAGGCATGATACATGGACCTCAAGGACCTTTGATGCCCGCCCGGCCTTGGCCTGATTCAGGTCATGATGCGACCGCCTGGCATCAGGACCTCATCGCTCGACTGGGCAGAAGGAAGAAATCGGCTGCAATCTTTTGGGTGCTTTGATTCAAGATGTGTGTTTCTTTGATGGGGCTGTGATGTACAGTGATGCCATACATTGGATTGAACATGCTATTGTGGTCAGACAGCAGCACGATGGGCATCTAGATAAACAAAATTAGAACCGGACTTTAAAAATAACAGTATAGGATCAACAAATCCTGAGTAGGACTCCTAGTCCTTTCGTCTCCTGGTCCTTTGGTCCCGTGGTTCTTTGGTCCCCCCTGGTCCTTAGATCCCCCGGTCCCTTTCCTGGTTTGCTGGCCTCACGGTCCATTGGTCAAAAATCATGACATTTGTGAAATTCATAATATGTGCAAATTTAGCGCGAACTCTCCGCATTGAGGGGCTAGTTGTTCTTGCTATGAAAGAGGGTGAGGGCAATGCGCTCTCCGCGGTTGCCTTGATCCTTCTGTCACTTGTGGGATGCTCTTCATTGATGGGGCAATGGTGTGTGTGCGTGTAGTTTCCCATGATGATCTATTTTGTGGTGCCTTCTGAGTCTGGTGCTTTTTGATTCTTTGTTCTTTGGGGGTGGCGCTGCGCCCTCCCCCACTAACCCCCCTTTCAGAGCCACAGAATCTCCTCTACTTTTGCCAATGCACTGCGCTTGCCACGAAAGCATGTTTCACAGGCTCTCGTCCAAGCTTCTTTGATTATGTGTTGCACCCATCCTGTCATTGTCCGCTGGTGAGTGATACGGCCCACCTTTGCTGTGTCCAACATTTCTAGTCTAGCCATGTCTAGCCTTTTGTTTTTTGTTTTGTTTTGGTTTGCTTCGCGGGGAGGTTGCCTGATCCTTTTGTCGCCCTGCTGCTGCTGTTTTTCCCCAGTCTCTTTTTCCTTTCATTGCTCACCGGGAGCATGTGTTTGTTGATCCTGTTCTTTTTCACTTGTTGATCCCCTTCGGGGGCGTCGGGCATTGTTGATGCTATTTCCCATCTTTTGGATCCCTCACCCGTTGGTCATTCCTTACCTAAACACCAGCCAGTTCACTGGATTCATTCCCGAATTTTTGTCAGATGACTTTGGTTTGCTGCCCTTGGCTTGTACATTGCCTTTGGTTGGTGGCAAGAACCACATGAGATTAGAACTGCTCGGACTATGAAGCCCAGCACACGGAGCAAACGAGTTTTCAAAAAAGAATGCAACAGCGGTGCCCCGGCTGAGAATCCAGCTAATCCAGCTTGAACTGAATTGGGGTTGAACGTGGGTGAACAAGTAGATTGCAATCAATGTGGTGATTCAGTTGCACGGCCCCGGAAACGTGTGCGTTCTCTGCAAAAGCTGGGTCATAGAAATCTACATCAAACTCGCCGGATCTTTCAAGCCCCCAATGAAGAGGATAGGACCCTTCCGCCCTATTTCCAAGTTTGACGGCAAACCTCGCAAGCCACACGAATAAAGCAATAAAGCAAGGGGTGTTCTGTTGCACGGCTTGGCAGGGTGATTGACCAGAAGGCCTTTTGCGTTGACCAAGAGTTTCGTACCAGATCTTTGGCTGATCCAGCAGCACGCTTGTTCACCTACTTCTCCTAATGTCTCAAGACTTCTGCTTCAGCATGAGCCAGCACACCACCACGGCACCAGATGGAAGCTGCGACAGATGTTGCATTCTTGACAAACCCCATCCAACAAGTGCCTTTTCCCTTGATTGCGTCTTTATCACCGGCACTTCAAGAGAGCAGAAGCTGCATACAAGCCAAGGGTGGAAAAAGGGGCCAACCTTCTTGATATAGTATTGAGAGTAGTATTGAGCTTCTGGAGGTGAGGTGGCACCCAATCTGATAGCCTGGTTTATCCAAGCTTTGCAGTCATGGCCATGACCAACAAGATGAGCTGAGCTGTGGCAGAGACCTTTGTGATGCCATATCCTCCACTTTTGGGAGCCTATTCTATCGGATTCTTCCTTTTTCCTTGTTTCATCGCCTTTCATTGTCCTTGGCCTATCTTGGCACCACCTTCCTCCTCATTCCCATATAGACCCCCAAAGAGATGGAAAAGTAATGAAAAGTAAATCCCCACCTTTAAAAAACAACAAGACGTTTCTTGGAATCCGTGCCACTGTCAAGATCTTATATAAGTAGATCCCCAAGACACCAACATCTATAATATATAAGAAAAGAAGCTACTAGGAACAAGTGCATTGCTTCTAGTAACAAGTGCCTTACTAGTATATAGTAACAAGAAGCTAGACTGATGTTGGTGTTTTCAGTCCTTCACCGCATGACCTGAACACTAAGCCGAGGAACAGCACGGTTCGCGCCGCAGGACCTGATGACGGCGCCCATCGCGACCAATGACTTCATCACCGCTTGGGTGCCGTTGCATCGGGTAGGACCCACGGGAGGTGATGGACGTCCCACCATGGACAAATGCTACCAGGGGCCAGGTGTTGCCATGTCATGATCAATTTGTGGGTCAAGTGACTGATGTCTTAATATGAGCCTAATCAATTTGTGGGTCGACGGTCAACAGTTGTTCACATTCAACAGTTGTTGGAATCTTCCATGGAATGGTTCCATGATTAAAGCTAGTAGTAACAAGTGCATCGCTACTAGTAACAAGTGCCTTACTAGTAGTAACAAGAAGCTACTAGGAGCAGAGGGCAACTGCAGAAACTCTGTCAGTCCCTATTTGAGGGAGGCTATGGACGAGCCCGTGCACTCCCGAGTGCTCAGACCGCTGACCGCCCCAAGGAACTGCACTTGGCACCTTGTTTCTAGTAGCAAACATTGTTACTACTAGTAAGGCACCTGTTACGACTAGTAAGGCACTTGTTCCTAGTAGCGTGGCACTTGTTCCTAGTAGCTTCTTGTTACTACTAGTAAGGCACTTGTTACTACTAGCGATGCACCGGTTACTACTAGACAGGAAACTTGGAAGAATGTATAGTTGGTAGGTTGACAGCCCAGTCCATCATGGGCCAGGATTTCTTCCAACAGAGTCGCCCTGCAGCGCAGACATGCGAAGACGCAAGCAGGATCCATCGAGGAGAGCCCCTTGGTGTTCCAGTCGTGTACTCACAAGGATCTCGCCGCCAAGGTGCATTGCGGGGCTATGGTAAGAGGATCTACTCTGGAAGATGTTGGACCATGGGATGGGAAGCTTTTGCTTACTGTAATGTTTTGGAAAGTCCTGCATGTTGATGGCTCATCAAAGCAGTGAGCAAGGCTCAAGGTAGGCTCCCTTTTAGTTTTTGCTTGTTGGAGGCTTGGTCGCTATCAATCTTGCGCAGGTCCATCATGAACAGCTGGAGGACACGATGTGAGTCACATGCTTCCGGCTTCCACATTGATGTTCACTATGTTATACTAAAACAATATTGGCCAACTTGGCAGTTCACTGCCAAGAATACCCCTAAGCGAGACGCAGCGAACATGTTCAGTAGCACTTAGGCAGGGAGACAGGAAAGCCTCGGTTTGACTGGATTAATGTACCTCGCAGGTAGCATGCTCGAATCTACCTATGCACATCAAGTCCCGCGGCAAGCGGCTGCAAATCACCAGTTTCGTCAGTCAAAAAGGATTGGCCTCGAAGTGAAACACCTCATTGGTCGAGCCAGTTCCATCAGTAGCTGGAAGCCCCTCACTCATCCCAGGAGATGGGCATTGACCCTTTGAGCTGCCCGGGGCCAGAGGACTTCGGGGAGCATCACGTGCCCTTAGAGGAGACGACGGGTTTTTCCAACCTTGGGGTCCTGTGGTGCGAAGTGTGTCCGTGGCTAAGGCTGGAAGTGGGTGGACTCCCCCAAAAGAAGGAACATGAGCAAAAATGCGCTTATATAAAGCCAAAGCCAAAAGGATGCCAGCGAACGCAAATAAGAGTTTAGACTCGATTTTTAAATGCATATCTACACATAATATACAGACATATACTGTATATATATATATAGCCGTGTGTGTGTGTGTGATTGCAAGTATGATTGTATAATGCCTTTGTTTTTGCCAGTGGGGGTTTCATGATAACAAAGTGTGCCTGTGAATCCATGCCCCCCCATTTGCATCAGATAGCAGCCTTGGCCACAAGACCATGAAACCTTGGAAGGACCAGAACGATATCACCAAATGCCTAGCCAGTGGATGAAAAGAAACCCTTAGCTTTGAGACGAATTTGGCATGACCCCTTTGGTCCGCTGCCAGGAGGGTGATGTGACCTGGCACCATGGCTGGGTTCAGCATGGCGCACCTGCGCTCACCAAAGGCACGCGGCTTGGCTGGCCTCGTTCGGCGAGGAAAGCGCCATCATTTGGGAGCCGTTAAAGGGACAGCAGCAGGGACGTTGGTAAGTTGGGGAGTTAGAAGGAGTTGGCAATTTGGCCACCAACTTGTAGCCCTTCGATTAATTATGTAATGCATGTGTTCCTAGTAGCGATGGCCTCCAACCTATTTGCCACGGCCTCCACCTAATAGCGTCCTTGTTACTAGTATAGCTTCTATGCCTACTGTCTTTATGTAGTGACCGAAGAAGTTGCGTCATCGGATGCTCCGCAGGTGTGAGCCGCATGGCCTTCACCGCATCGTACTTTGCAGATGGTGCATTGGTGATGGCCCCCGCGGAGACCGAGGCCTCGGTGTAGAGACCGTGGCATCGACGAATGGTCCGACCTTGAGATGTTTGGGGTGCCGAAAGGTGATGGCAATTCTGGGCCTGATCATGATCATGATTATGATCCTGAATCAAAGTTCTGAAGGCTGAAGATGGACAGTTCCAGGATAATTCCCAAACACAGGAGTTGGGTAGCCGCCCAAACTGCCCAAACTTTCGAGGATCACCACGAGGATCACCACACAAATCACCCACTTCACAGTGCCCAACGCACACTGCGTCTCCCTGCGTCACACTGCTTACTGCGGCGGGAACCCCGCAGGACGCACCTTCCTTCACCAGTTGGCTGCGCGATTTGCGGCCTGGAGACCAGGCCGAACATCCGGAGCTGCCCCTGTTGGCTCCAGCCGGAGGCTTAGTATTTGGCTTGGGGAAGAGGCATGGCAAATTGTCAGCCGTAGATTGGATGAGTCTCTGAGAGAAGGACGAGGAGCTTCAGGGAGTGAATGTCCGCACTCGTTTTGATATGTTTTGACGGTTTGATGCACTGAGACGAGTCACGAATCCGGACTCCAAGGCTTGATGCAGGACTGCTGCTGCAGAGGGTTTGCTTGGAGCTCCGCGCTTGGTTTGGGCGAAGTTCCCTGTGAGGCTTTCATGAAGGTACCGCAAGGAAGCCGCAGATCAACAGGGCAAAATATGACAAAATGATGCCCTCAGTTCTCTCCGAAGCCGGTCAATGTTAGGTGTGGATCTGAATAGTAGGTAGACCCCCAACCGATGGAGTCTTGTCTATTTCCCTTTCTTCCGGTGTTTTTTGGGTGAGGCCCCCCTATCTTTATACACACCCATTTGGCAACTCTCGCTGCTCCTGTTTCGGGCTCAAGAGTTCGCCCCCCCCGCTGGCTCTCTCAGTCGCGGGAACTCCGCTCATGGGGGCACAGCTGTGTCCGACTCCTCGCGCGAAGAGACAACATGGTTTCAGAGTTTGTGAATATATGCCCTTGTTACTAGTAGCTGCTAGCTGCTATATATAGAAAACCATATATATCTATATTACTTTAAATAAATAAAGTGGTTTCAGAGGTTCGATGGCACTGGCACCCCAAGATGTCTTAGACATATGGGGGTCCACTACTAAAGCACCGACATTGGGGTTTGTGCCATCTGCTCTACTCTCAATCCACTTTACTCCTTTTATAGCTTTAGGGACAGTGACTTCACTAGTCATGGAGGCTATTCACCGTTCACTGGGGGAAACCATGCGTTCCAAGGGGCAAGTTGAGGCAGTATTGGGCAGACCTCTCTTCTGCATGAGTTTGGGCAGAACGGATGTGGTGGACCGGCGGTGATCGGCCTTAGGAGAGTGAACGTGGAATTGGACGCCTGAGCACCACTTGGTGGATCAGGCAGGCCACTATGCTCTCTCTCTCTCTCTCTCTTGTTCTCCACCTGTTGCGCTGTTTGCACACTGTCGCAGTAGCTTGAGTGGTGTCCTGTTTGTCTAGATACCCTCCAATTCACACAAGTCACCAGAACCTCTCTTGCAACAGCTTTGGCCAACAACATTTTGAGGAGCAAGCCATGTCCGGCAGCCTGAGCCAACAACCGGGTGCGCACAGAATCTAAGGATCTAGACAGTTCTTCATGGCTATGTAGATTGTAGATGTTGGACCGATGTCAATTGACAAGAGTTCTCAAAGGTGAGGGTTTGCTGAACAGCAGGGGCATTCCTACTAAGGGCCAAGAGTTCTTGGGTTTCTCGGGCCAGGACTGATGCCTCCACTGGAAGGTATTTTGGGATTCGCAGTGGATGAGTCGGTCGTTAATGCTTAGTCAGTTTGCTCATTGCAGCACTAGGCAGGGAAGTGTTTCGTATCCTAGCCCCGGGTTCTTGGAGTACGGGTGCTTTTGCTGGGCTGTTTCAAGGCGGCGAAACCTTGTTCTGAACCTCGCGGTCCGCCGCAGGCGATTTCGGCCATGTCGGATGGCCGCGTCACCGTTGGGCACTGCATCGAGGGACTGCCCATGGGGCTTTTCGTGGCTTGCCGTGGAGGAGCACAGAGGGTAGGACGGCTCTATCAAGAGAGTTACAGAAGCTACATGAAGCTACACTCAAGATGGAACCTCAAGAGACTGCTTGGTATATGTGTCAACCCCTGTGTATCGAAATGCGCTACGTGTTTGTGTAGTTTGTGTGTGGTTTCTAGACGAAGATCGGGGTAGTCTACTTGGTGAATCTTCAGGCGAAACTGTTGGGCTAGCTTCAGCCATTCAATTATAAAGTGTTCGTGTGAGGGTGGAGATCGTTCCAGAACTCCCGACCAAATGGCGGCTGGTTTTGATTAGACAGTCATGTGCGAAGGTATGGGAATTGCTACTTTGCGCCTTCTTGGCATGCTTTTGGCTGGGCGCCATGAATGAGTCACTCGGCAATCCGCTGCCTGCAGGTCATTGCACATCGTGTGGGTTGCAGATGATCAGGTGGATCATACAGGTGGATCATACGGTAACACAACAGGATTGCAAATTTATGCAAATTTGGCGCGGGGGTCATTTTCACGATGCAGGTCGCAACGATGCGACGATGCGACCGTCATGCGACTGATGCTCCCTTAGAAGTTGTCAGGGCATACTGTAATTGGTAGTCAGTTCAATGTGGCCTCCAAATGTGTGCGCGTGCATGTGAAGACTCTAAAGCCTTCGGATGACCCACCCATAGATAAAAATGGAGGCAAAAATCCAGCTGAGACCACTGCTGCGGCTCCAAGAGGCCATCATGGGCCCATCCTGTCCAGAGTTTTGCCACTCCTGTACACTCCCGGTCACCACCCCCGGTCCCTGGTACCAAGGCCGACACCTTTTGCCATGGGCCTGGTGGCCACCGCCACTTGGGGCTCATGTCGGGGTGCGTCACGGTGTGCCAGCGAAGGGGTGGGGGCTGCGTGAGGGCTTTCGCACATCATATCCACTCGAAGCAGTCATCCCCTGCTTCGGGGTTCTAGAGGCTAATCCACCACATCGGTGGATGATTCCCTCTTCGGCAGGGCACCGCGAGTTCCGCGTCTCTGCCACTCTTCAGGATTGGTCCTTCAACGAGCTGAGCGTGCAAGCCGTTCTGGCTGTGATGAGCATTGGCAACAGTATCTCTTTGCTGGCTTTTGGTTGGTTGGCTGAAGCTCGCGCAAGAAAGAAGGGTAGCGGGTAGCAATAGAGGCGAGGGCAGCATTGGGTCATGCTGGTTCATCTGGGTTCAACAGAGAGACCACCCAAAGACCCCTTGGAAACAGGGAAACAGACCAAAACCATCCAAAACCCACGGGCTGGGCCGGTTCCCATCTGTATGCTACAGAAGGCACACAGCCCTGTGAACCAGCTGCTTCATTCAAAAGAAGGCCAACATCCTTGGCATAGTGTGGGTTGCAGAGTTTTTTTCTAACGAAAGGCGACCCACTCGAAACCATTGAGCTCGAGTAGACACACCGCAAGTGTCCGAAGCAAAAGAATCGGCATCAAGAACTTGAAACTCCATGTAGCATGTTTTCATATGTCTTGATGTAACAACAACAACAACAACAACAACAATAGCAGCAACAACAACAACAACAACCACAACAACCACAACGACAACGACCACAACCACAACCACAACAACAACAACAACAATTCAAATACACACTCAAATCGTGGCAACCGTTTGTGACTGAGGACCGCTATGGCCGCGCTTTGGTCATGCGAAACCTTCTCTTACTGACCATTGCAGCTGCCATCTTCATGCAGGGCTCAAGGACAGGACCAGAGATGCGGAGTTTTTGGCCAAGGCCCTAGGCTTGTTTGTCGTGGCCTCAGCTCTTTCACATGGAGGGTATATGTATGTTTGAATTATTGGTCTTTTTTATGTGGTTTTTGTTTTGATAGCTTTTGCCTTTTGCGGGCTTTTGGCTTTTGGTGGTTTCTGTTTGACTTTTGGTGCTTCGGTTGGCTTTTGATGGCTTGTGTTGGCTTTGGGCTTCTGTTGGCTTTTGGCTTTTCGTGGCTTCGGTTGCTTTTGGTGGCTTGTGTTGGCTTTTGGCTTTTGTTGGGTTTTGGTGGGGCTTTGCCTTTTAGTGCTTCGGTTGGCTTGGGCTTTGTCACTGTTGCACGGAACGTGATATATTATACCCAAGATATATCACGATATGATAGTTACTATTCTCTTCTATTGCATCCTGGTCACTACACCTACCGGGTACCGACTAAAGAATCCAAGAGTTGGCAACGATCGTGCTTGCATTGGTTGTGGCTTTGGCCAACCCCGGTTGACCATTTCAACCTTTGTTCTGCTGTGATGGGTGGATGTTAGTCACTAGTCCATCATCAGACGAATGTGAAGTTCCAGGCACAGCTGCCAGATGTAAAAAGGTATATTGGTTTTATCCAGATGTAGCAACCTTGTCCCTTTTCCGTGTCCATTTCCATTTCCTTGCCCTTTGCTTGCCCTTTTTCTTTTTTTCTGTTCCTTCCCTTTTGCTTTATAGCAGCCAAGAGCAAGAGAAAAATAGTACTTGTACAAGATTACAAAAGTATAACAATTCCAACATAAAATCCGAACCCCTTTCGCATGGCACACGTTTTGCATTGAATTGGTTATGTCCTCTTTGTTGCGCCAGAAAAAACACGGCTAGCAGAAGGCTGTTCAACAAGCATTTCTGTTGGCCAGGAGTTTGGAACTCACGCTCTGGGGCCGCTTTCTCGTAGGCCCGGGCTCTTTCGGGTTATTGGTGGTGCTGGAGGATGTGTCAAACGAACGTTACGGAAAGCGACACATTGCTTTGCCTGAAGATGTTGCTTCAGTCTTTGTTTGTTTGCAAGGTCTTTCTTCCGGTGGTTTGATGGCGGCAATGTTGCCACTGCTGGCAGAGCTGCTGCCGGCCAAAAGCCGTGGCTTCTATCTCACCGTTTGGACATGTGGCAGGCTGTGACATTTGAGCACCCCATGTGTTCACCACATGGACTTCCCGCAAAGGGTGGAGGTTCGAACCTCCGTCGATGACAGGCCTGCCGGTGCCCTGTTCGCCGTCATCATCAGCTGCTTGCTGCCCCGCATGCAGTGGACCAGCTGCTCGTCATGCAGAAGAACGTGGAAGAACACATCGCCACAATGACGCTCTTGGAGCATCCAAAAGCACAGACCGATCATGAACTTGTACAACGACTGAAATCACATGCATCCCAAAAACCACCTTTTTCACGGCTTCTATAAGCCTCCAAGATCCTCCAAGGTTTGTAAGTGAAACCTCATGTAACTTGCCCTGTTTTGCATGTAACTTGCCCAGAACTTCACCAAGAACTGCACGAGCGACCAGCCATGTCTCGCTGAGATTTCATCTTCTTGCTGACCCTGCCGGCAGTGGTTCTGTACATCTTATGTCGATTAGAAGTGGTTCCAGAATCTCCCCGATTCTTGTACCTGGTGGGCAGAAGAGAGGAAGGCTACTTCACTCTCTTGGACATATATGACAAGGCACACTTCGAGAGAAACTTTCAGAGAGAGTGACGGCTGCCCGCAGATCATATACTGACATGTGAGCACCAAAAGGCTACCTAGAAATCAGTTGCCGCTGTGTGAGCCGCGGAAGATATGGCAACATTCAAGAAAGCAGAAGTCTGTTTCAAATCCTGCATGTCATAAATTACATATGACAATCGTGTGTGTGCGTGTGTGCGTGTGTATGCAGAACTGCTTGCTGTCAGCAATTGTACTTGAGGGTTGACGAGATTTTTCCCGTAGATTCCATCTATTGCTTTGGCTCTCGCAATGTCTATATAGCTACTCAGCTCTCTCGCTGCAGGAGATGACTTGTCTTCCCTGGGCACCCGAGTCCGTGTCGCTCACCAGCTCGCCCGAGAGCAAGGAGGTCAAAGCCGGACTTGAGAAGCTCCACTCCTCCGATGCGACCATCACAGCGGCATGACCGACGAGCAGTTGGGTGGTCAAAACCGGCGTGACCGGTGCGAAACAGACATGGAAGCCTTGATAGTATACCCCCCCATCCTTCTGTCCTTAAGAACCTCGAAGCGCTGGGAGATCTGAAGCAAAGACATGTCAGGGTGGTTGGTTGGCAGATGGTCTTGGAAGATTGTAAAAGGATATGTTGCCTTCTTATGCTTTCTTATGTGGCTGTGGGTCAACCTCGGAGCCCGTTTCACCCTGGTAGTGGACCTCCTTAGTAGTCTATTCTGTGCATTTCCGCTGGTCAACCCGGGTGCCAGATTCGCGACGGTTGAGGCTTTCTTGTGCCTCATCGTCTTCATGATCAACTGCGCCTCTCAGTGCACGCAGGTCCCATGCGGTTGGAAAATGCATGAACATGCAACAAAAGGCAATGGAGGGGGAGGTTTTAATTACCAAGTGGGCGGGGCGTCGCAGGACGAATCACCTCCTCTGTAGATTCAGGTTTTTGTTCTCCTGTCCTACCCCAACAGCCTGTGAGTGGCAGTGGTGCTGTCGAACAGGCCTGGGTGCCGATGACCACGCTGGCGACCTCCAGTACGCTGGCGAACCCACTGGCTTTAATCGCGTTCCCATTTGTCCAGGTGCCGCTAAAACGGCGAAAACAACCTTGCTTTGAATCACATGACAGTAGTAGGCCAGGGCCTCTAGGGCTGGCACTGGGTCGCCAAGCTTTGAGCTTTGCGGCATTGGGTTGTGTTACGATGTGTTACACATAAATGGCGCAGAAGTTGATTTATTGAGTCATGGCTTAGCAGGGATCCTGGGTTTGGTTTATATAACGTGGAAACATGTGGAAGCGCTCAAGCTGCCACAGATCTTTGACCCATGCAGCCCGAGGTGGTGCAGAGCCCACAAGTCCACAGCCTTGCGCTGCTGCAGAGCCCACCAGATCACCACTCAGTGATGGTGGTAGCCCAGGGCTACATGTGACTGGTCCATACTTTTTCTTCATTGTCCCAAATTTGACCTATCACCTAAACGATGGTAGCAAAACCCCGAACAGAACTGGACGCAACTACCATCGGCACTGTGCTAGTAATATGGGAAGTCTTCATTTTCACGCCCTTCCCACCGCTTGCAGCTGCACTACAGTCAAAAGTGCGAGTCTTGTTAAAGTCAATTAAGCATCAAAACCTTGCACGAAGGCTGCTACACAACCATCCAAAGCACAGCGTGCCACCGTGTAGTCAACGATTTGACCAGTTCACGCCCCACGCGGAAACACATTCGCCAAATTTTTGTCCACTGAGGCTTGAGCTGTGTGGCATCGTTCTTTGTGCCACGGTCTCATCAGCAGCTGGGAGTAGACGTCGGTCCGACGGTCCGACGGTGGAAGAGACGTCACCGGGCGCAGACGGGAAGGGCACCAAAGAAATGTGGCCAGCAAAGCACCTGGATTCGCCTGGTTACCAGGTCCTGGTATGTTTGTGTTAGGGGGGAAGTCGCTGAAGACTGGGAGCCCCAGAGAGCGAGCGAGGGAGGGAGGGAGTGAGTGAGTGAGTGAGAGTGAGGACGAGAGAAAGTGAAAACAAGGTCCCCTAGATAGACTACTGCAGTCCGGGGAGCACGCGGGTCCTTGATCCAAAGCATTTCAAAGCCATTTGAGAACAGCTAGGCTTGTGATCCCTCGATCCAACAGACCGTACCCCTTAGCATCCCTTAGCTATGCCACAGCGGCACAATCAATGAAAATCATTGGCTCAACTGGGCATGGGTGAAAGAGACAAAATCCAAAGCCAACCATCATAGTTGTCCCAAACCATCCCAAACCCAAAGCGAGAGAGGAGAATTCTTGTGGAAGCGAAAGCGGCTACCACGGAGGCAGGTGAGTCCTCAGTCCCTTCACTCAGGTCTTGAGCCGTCGCTGGCTCATCCGGGGCGCACTGCTGTGCGCGGCCGTCCTGAGCTTCGCAACCACCGCGGCGGAGGGGCGGCGAATGTGTCTTGGTGAAGGGTGGGGGGCAGGCTGGTTTTGGACAGAATGATGGACAGAAACTGGGTTGACTTGGTCTTGTAGCTGCAAATGAGAGGACTCTGGAAGCCAAGTGTGTCTATTTGTGTACTCTCCAGCTGTGTTAGTGTCACTGTTACTATGTTTCATTTGCTTTCCCGTGGCTCGTCCTATTCTAAGACTCCTGGATAATGAACCGTTAACATGTTGGGTTCGTGTCAGGAGTGCTGGACAAGGACCTCCAGTAGGAGAAGTTAAAGCCCATTTCAGAGAGCATCCTCATTCACATACTCCTCACCCGTTCCAGCCGGATGCTTGGACTGATGCCGGTGTCCAGTTCACGGACCGGTGCACCAGAGCGAGTCAGCGAGTGAGAAACTCTCGGTTTGGTCAGGTGGTTTTCTGCGGGACCTCTTTATGGAGCTGTTCTCATCGCACAATCTGCAGCCTTCAACTTTCTTCTGGCGCGGCAGCCAGCACTTACTGCATCGGCGGACTGTTTTGCTCGAAGTAAGCTTAGACATGGAAGAAAATGCTTTCTCATGCACATGAACAAGAATGGATGGACCAACTGGACATATTTCCCGCTCACACGCGCAACAGTATCAACAGTGGGCACGCTCTCTTGAGAGGTGAATATTACTCCAATCTCTTCCGTTCCTATTGTGGGTGTAGATGATGGTTGAAGAATTGAACCCCCAGTCCATCCCAGTCCCCTGACCTCGCCACAGACCTCCTCGTGTTCCATGACCTCCTTTTGGCGCGCAGGTCTATACTTGTGAGAAGTTCCCCACGTCCTCCCGTGCCAGTGCGGTGGGTTTGGTGCTGTTCTTCGGTGAGGCGAGGGAAAGCAATGACTGAGTCAGTCAGAGTGTCCTTCCGAAAAATTGACAAGTTTTCCACCCATGGGGTCATCTCCATGTGCACTCACCAATGTCATGGAATGGATATTTCGGATACGGTGGACTAGCTGTCTCTTTGAGATGGCTGGATGGGGGGAGAGGGAGAGAGAGAGAGAGAGAGGAGAGACACTGACTTTGGGCCGCTGAACACCCTCCCCCCCCTGCAGGTTGCGCGCTTCTTTATGCCGGCCCTGGGCATTGTTTTATTGAGCCTTGACGTTTACAATAGCAGGTTATTGGTGTTCATATGTTCGTGCAATGGAGATTGCGAAAGGGTGACCAGATCACCAGATCACCAGTGGATGGTAGTTTTCGTGTGTTTTCTCATAACCACTTGAGATTGACTTCAATCATTGTTTCTTTCACCCGGGGCCCGCGGCAATGGAGGCTCCACTCAGGGACGAACGAAGGGACGGAGGCTCCGAGGCTCCGAGGCCTTCACGTTCGTGGGGTGTCACAGCCGATCCCAGGAGGCATATGTCCCAGTTCACTGTGGTATCCATCTTCAACAGCTTGTGCCCTATCTTTAGAGAGAGAGAGAGGGAGAGGGGGGAGAAAAAGAACAACAATTATATAAGTAAAGGAGGAGCCTTATTCAAAACAATCAAAAGCCATATATAACGCTGCAAGATTTTTTCGATAGAACAGAGCGGAGAGGAGGAGGGGAGAGAGCTTCTCGAGAGTTGGGATCGCCCCCCCTTCCTAGTGCCATGTTGGACAAAGAACGTGTTCAAAGGGATCATGGCTTTTCTTTGCAACACACTGAGCCCGTGAAGGGTGCAATGGAGAGAGAGAGAGAGACAGCTGTTTGTTGCAATCAGGTATTTGGTTGCATTCGTTCTGACCTTCCAGCTTCCTCTGCCATCTTTTCGCGAAAAACCACTTCACGACATCGATGAAAGCAGAGGGAAAGATGCGCTGAAGCGCAAGCGACTTGGAGTCACCTATCAAACTGTTTAGATCCTTCAGATGATCATTTTGATCATCAAATGCCCGGCTTGGCGAAAAGCATCATGGCGGACGGCGCCTCGTCCCGCCGCCCGCCGTTCCGATGTCCTGCTGTAGAGTCCAGTCGCGATGTGAAAAGCAAAAGCGCATGAAAAGAGAAGAAGGCGCGATGAAATCGTGTACGGTGGCCATAAATGTCCAGGAATCAAGTGAATCCCAGCACCTTGAATCATGTGAAATCACCTTTCTTTTCTGTCACTTCACGGTCAAATGTCATTTCCATGTGTGTCGGCGTTGTGTCCAGCTTCTTTGGCTCGAGCTCTGAAGCGCTCTGCCACTGAAGCTCCATGACCGACTCTGAGACCTTCCGCTTGTTGGGCAGCAATGGTGAAATCACCCTCTTCGGTGTCAGCGTGCAGAGCGGCAACCATGAGCCGCCCGGCGGAAGAATAACACACCATCAACGAAAGGAAGAATCACTCGCATATAGTCTATATAAGTAGATATACATTGATGGAACACTCCAGACCAGAATATTGGAAAATTGAATATGTAGAACGACTTTTAATACATGCTTGAGGATGCTGTACACTGTACTATGCATGCCGTAGGATGCTAGTAGGGTTTTCCGTCCCGGATCTCCAGCGGTCCGTCGGGACTGCCCACTGGGTCTTCCTCCGCCCATCTCCGACGATGGCCACAGGGATTGGCAGTTTGTGATGGGCTTTCCACGTCCAGGCGCGTGTTACTGTTCTCGACGCTTCGCGTGTTCTACGCTACGCTCGAAAAACTGGGAGAGACGTCGACCGGGTCCGGGTCAGGACTCTGTTGATGACCAGTGTTGTCCAAGGTTGGCATATCAACCAAGCCAACACACAGACACACTCGAGATCTTTTGATGGACAAGAGTCTCACAGTATATGCCTGGCAAAGAATCCTTCAATTCTACGCATGTTTACATGTGTTTCGAGGGCGATGCGAAATCAACTGGTGAAAAGTTTCGCAAACGTTTTGGCATGCTCGTTGCCTCAAAGTTGTCCACAATTTGGAATATCATGCCACTCCGCCACTCGCCCTTGTTTGGTCCATAGGCTTTTTGGGTTTGGTCTAGGGGCAGCCGGGTCACTCAGCCATGCAGCTACATTGCACCAACCTATGCTTGGCCTCGTTGCGACCCAAACATGTCAAAATTAGGAGGCTCATCTAGCTTGAGCCGGGTGTCTTCCAAATAGCAAGGGTGTTTGATTTGGAATAGTACCTTGTTGTCAAGTTTCTTGCTGGCTCCGTTAAAGGCATGTAACACAGCCATGTAGTTTATTTCGTTCTGCTTGGGAGCAAAGAGCTCTAAGAACGAGGCAACATCCACATGCGCTTGACACATGCAAGACTGACCTATATATACAGTCATGGAACTTCAAGAATTTAGATTCCTTCGTAGTGGGCAGCCATGCCAGCGTGGAGGTATGATGATGATGGAGACGTTACGCGTGAAGAGTCCGCAGAGACCATCTCCTTCCTCACAACCACGAACATCATCCACCGCTTCTGGCGCCACAGCCAAGCACCACTATGGATGGAGAAGGTGGACCTGTCGGAGCTGCAAAAAGAAAAGCTTGACTTTGACCGGGACGTTGCAACTTCAATGGCCAACTCGTACTTCACACTGTTTGCAAGATCCTTCTCGACCCTTTGCGGAGTCATGTGCTGATGTAGGTCTGATTTTCTTTGCGGCCCGAGGGTTGCCTGAGCCAGCTGGAAGCACCAACCACTGCGCTTATATGCTGATTGCTTAATATGCCCAGCTTGGACGTGTGAAACTTTCTCGGTTTGAAATTTACGTTGCATTGGGGCTCAGGAGCTGAGGCTCGACGATCTTGGATTGGGTTATTGTGCTTGGGGCAGTCGGATGTAAACAGCTGAAGCTTGTCGGTGCAGTGTGCGCCCGAAGCTGCAGTGCCTTGCGCCCGGCCAAGCTCGATCAATGGGGCCTTGCAGGAGTGAATGAGTTGGAGACGGAAAACCCGTCACAATGTTACCAGCCAAATTGATTTGGCCAGGAACACCCGTCACGTTTCAGACCGGGGCCCCAACCCTAAAATGTGATGGGTTTTTTTGATAAACCCGTCGCAATTAAGTAAGGAAAATGGAAACCCGTCAGGCTTTCCAGCCCACTCCGAACTTCAAAGTGTGATTTGTTTCTCCAAAACCTATGGAATTGTGATGGGGTTTTTTGAAAAACCAATCGCTTTTCTGGGGCCAGTCAAGCTTCCAGATCATGATGGGTTTTCTGGCCAAAACCACTCAGCCAAATGGTGATTGTTTTTAATAAAAACCGTCGCAATTTGACCAGCCAAATCCATTTGGCCGGGAAAACCCGTCACAATTTGACCAGCCAAATCCATTTGGCCAGGAAAACCCGTCAAAATTTAGCCAGCGAAATCTTTTTGGCAAGGAAAACCTCGAACACTTGGCAAACCTAGGGTCCAACCGCTTTGCACTTTGAGTAATTAAGTGTTGCAAAACCTGCTTGGCATAAAGGACTTGTCACGGTTTTAGGGTTAAAATGCGTTGGTTCAGTAAGGACACCTCAGTTTCCAACAAAGACCAAATGGCAGAACTGCCGGGGTTTTGAGCTGGGTGCGCTCAACCTTGGTATGCTTTTGACTGCCAGCTAGCTGGCAGCCGGTGTGCCAGTTTACTGGCGGCCACAACCTGTTAGAGTTTTGATGTGTGCTTCTTGAAGCTTTAAGCTTCTCGAGGGGCTTTAGGACGAGGTGAGAGTTGTTCGAGTAAAACGGGCGCGTCCGTTGAAGGTTGCCTTGAAGCTTCGTGATTCCTAGAACCGCGGCTTGTTGAGGCGATGTGGTAGCGGGGGGACAATATCGCGTCACATGGATGATCACCGTGAAAGATAGAATAAGCGAAGTTAACACTTTGACCTGCTGGCTTGGTTGCAATGTGCGCATGGAGCCTGGGAACTGAACTTGGTGCTACTTGCTATCATTATGGTTTTGAATGGGATGCCACGTGATGCGTGCAAGTGCTGATTGTTTGCAAAGTGCAGCAAATGCTGCCAGTCCGTGGAAAGAGCTACCAGTTTGTGCTTTGGAGTTTGCCGGGCGGGTAGAAATTTGGACACCCACTTGCTATTTGGAGGACACCCGGCTCAGGGTAGATGAGCCTTAGAAACACCATCCTAGAAGCAATGGCCTCCAAACTAATGGCAATGGCCTCCAAACCCAAACCCTGCATGTCGAAACTTCATTTTGTGGGGGGGCCTACCAAACGCCGCCCGGGCTCGCGTCCTGTTCAGTTAAAGACGGTGACAACAAAGAGTTCGAGAAGTTCGTGGACCAGCCTGGCGACCTTTGGAAGGCACGTCCTCGACCCGTGGTCCGATGGGGTGTGTGGGTTGCACGGACATCGAACTCAGAGAATCGGCGAAGATCTCGGTTGAGTGGACATCCACGAGGAAGTCCAGATGTTGGCATGTCTCCAACCGTGGCTATGGTTGGGGTTACCTGACAATGCCTAAGAAAACGACCTGTCGCTCGACATGTTTGGTGCGTGAGGGGATTTTGGGAACAAATGATCCGTGTGATCGGGTGTGTTCGGAAAGTGAGAACCTGCGGAACCACCTTCCTGACAGCATGTTTGTCGCTCTAGTCCAAGTGTGGTTTTCGGGGCCCATCTCACCATGACCCGGTTTTTCTTCAGATTCTGTCAACTAGACTTTCCCAAACATTCTCACACCCATTCCTGACGAATACCCCATGTCTGACGGCCTGCAGGACATATTTCCACGATCTGAGCCGAAAAGGTTTGACAAGCCCATCACGATGCAGGACGAATTGACGTCGTTGCTCTCACCACTTATGCACGCACATGAGGTGGAAAAATATTGGTTTCCTGATTGTTGGGGCACTTATGCAAGGACTTCAGCGATCAAGCGCGAAAGAAGATCGAAGAGATTCTAGAAGGCATGTCCTGTTGGACACCGAAACCACTTGCGTCTCGCGTCTTTCGCGAAGCGCTTCGAGCTTCGGCCGATGGGCGGCAGCCACAGGCCCCAACTTTCACTGTAAGACGGGCAACTATGTGTCGATCGATGGCGATGAATACTTCTTGAAGATTGCCCTGAAAGAAAAAGACATGTTGCACTCCTTGGCAGAAAGGGTGGAGGCAGGGTTTTTGTTGGTTGTGCCACGAGTGATCTGCGTGGCACCGCGCAGATCCAATAAGCAAGCATGCAGCTTTTCATGTGCCAGCGCTGAGTTTGTCGAAGTACTTCTATGCCAGGCCCGTGCACGGGTGAAGCCATCTGCGTATGAGAAGGCCAAAGTGGTGTGCCCCACAGAGCATAAGGTTGGAGAGGAGCAGATTTGGTCCCACTATTCACCCTAGGGTCAGTTCCCTCTTGTGGACACTGACTGGAGCCCTCATCATTGTTCTAGCTTGACAGGGTGGTTCTCTTGAGCCTGAAACTATCTAAACTGCTACCCAAAACTATCTTCGTGCGCACAAGGAATCAAACGAACAAAAGCACACAGAGTTGTTCCACGCACACCTGATACCATCGAAAGGCAGTTCGTCTGCAGGAGTTCAAGCGCTATGAGAGTGAACATTGAAATCTTCATACCAAAGACAAGCAGGACAACTGCTGCCCGGCTCATGTGTCTCGGCTTTTTTAGGCCCAAAAAAGGAGAAGCCCAGGAGTCAATCAGGGTCCCTGCAGCCTGAAGCGCCAAGTACCCCGTACCACCTCCCAGAATTGGGGGGCTCCATGTAGCTCCAACGAATTGGGCCCATTTATTGTAACCCCCTAACTTCTCCCACGAAAAGGGCCTCGAACCTTGTATTGTCCAACCACCCGATGGTCCGAACCCAACCTCCAGGGGGCTCCTCTCTGGCCCGGCCGGGCTGGAGGGGGGGAGCCGGACACCTCCGCTTCCGACGATGGCTTCAGGTGCTTTTCCGAAAGGCCTTAAAGGACAAGCTCGAAGACTTTGAAGAGCCCAATGTGCTTCGAATTCTCCGGCGCCACATTATCAACTATATTCAGATCCAGGAGTTGCAGAAGGTGCGGCACCATGGTCCATGGTTGGTTGGTCATTGACACCATGCCGAGGCTGTCGCTGTCGCTCTTGGTCGGGTCAAGATAGGAGACCTGGCTTCACAGGCCAAAGCCGCCAAAGCTAGTTCAGCATGGTGTCTCCCCATGGCGCACTGTTGGCAAACAAGATCAAAATTGAAGGGTTCGCAATGGTTTGCATGTCCAATTTTCTCTATATGGTTGTCGATCTAAAGGTCCTAGTCAGCAGTGTGTATGACGATGACCCGGAACATATCAAAATCTCATTTGGCGAAAGTTTTTTCTCGAGTTGGCGAAAGTAAATTTTTTTTGGCGAAAGATCTGGCGAAAGATTAAATATGTACTTTTGTATGAATGTTCATTTGCTTTCTGAACAGCTGGTGGCAGTGACTCAGAAGCTAGATGAGCTGTGGAAGTTAGATAACCTGGTGCTGCTGCGGCTGCTACTACTACTACTACTACTACGACTACCACTACCACTATGACTACCACTACCACTACCACTACTACTACTACTACTACTACTACTACTTCTACTACTACTACTACTACTACTACTACTACTACTACTACTACTACTACTACTACTACTACTATACTACTACTACTACTACTACTACTACTATTCCTACTACTATTCCTGCTCCTGCTTTTGGGGGTGGCTTTGCCACAAAACTCTACCCCGCAAAAGGCGAAAGTTTGGCGAAAGTTCAGCTCAAGATTGGCGAAAGTTCACCCTGCCACATCTGACCCCCAGCCCATTATGAGTAAGTTTGAGTGACCGGCTACTACAGTGATTCTTGCAATTTTGATTCTTGCTGACACCCAGGAGAAACAAAAGAGACGTACAGGGTGTCAACAGTTGAGTAGAAGACACATGCTGACAAACAGTGAAGTTTCTATTTTGTGTTTGCCCGTAAAGAAGAAGCCATTGACGTGAACAAAACACAACATACATGGCACACATAAATACAACGTACTTCGGCGAAAGATAAAACGCAGGAAGGCGAAAGTTTGGCGAAAGTAAATTTTTTTTTGGCGAAAATGACGGATCCCGGATAAAGGAATTTAGATCAACTCCCATATAGGTCTAGGTGACAAGGTCTTTGCAAGTTCAAGTCTAATTGGGGTTCCTTTAATGGACGCTTTATGAAACGGTTTGGTATCCTTTAACCCGTCTAATCTCAGCAAGTATTCTTCACCCGGCAGTTGCTGGTACAATACGCCGTCATAAGTATAAGCCCTCATATTTGTTACCAGTCCGATTGGCTATCTGGCCATCAGCCATCCATGGCCTTGCCATTCACCAGGCTGGAGTGGTGTCCTCCTTCTTCGCCGTGCACCAGTGGCAGCATCTCCAGGAGCTGCATAACCGTGGCTGGAACAACCTTTCACGCTTGTGGAGCTGGCCGAAGGCGCCGTGGACCGTCGGCCGTTCGAAGAAGACCGTCGGGGCCCTGGCCGGAGGAACTGGCTGTGCTGGCACAGCTGGGGGATTTGACGGTGACGGAAAGAAAGAGGGAGGGGGAAGCTGTGTACTGTTAGACCCGTTGCAAGATTTAAGATATGGCAAGGTCACTCCCTGGTCATTATGTATTGCCTCAATGACTCAAAAGTGGAAGGACGGCACCGCGGATTTCATCGTGCAGTACACCGGAGTGCAGGTGGCATTCCTGTTCCACCTTTACAACACCTTCACCAGGCGCTGACAGAATGTGAGTTGGAACTCAGTTCTTTGGACTATTCAGTTAAAGCCTACTGCGAGGTACAGATAAGATACTATGTGATATTGTCAAATTATAGTCATAGTACGTAGTATACTGTGTATCAGTTGTTGATACTTGTTGGTCATTATGTATTCACAAAATATGCATAATATATAGACTAGAGTCAGAGGTGTGTGTGTGTGTGTGTGCCCGTTCTTGATATATTATATCTTTAACGTGTTTGCATGAGTGAATACATAGAGCTCGTGAATTCCTGGGTCTTGTTCTCAGCGCTTTACTCGCATCGGTGGCGAGAGCGCCCTCAGGTGGCTCTCGGGTCCAGCCGTGCTGAGTACGGTGAACTTCGTCTTGCGCCGGTGCCCCTTCACCAGCGCTCGCGAGGCGAGCGTGGAAGAGATGCAGGTGATTGTGGCAGGGTGGCATGTGTAAAAGAAAAGACGGATGAAATAGAGGCTCTTCGAGACATTTGAGACATTGTCCCAGGGAATTTCGCTCAGAACCTCTCCCCAACAACTTTGTTTAGTGATGGCAGTAGTTGCATAGCGGCACAATGTCTTCATTCCACTACAGGGGTCGACTGGTGACAACTGACGGGTGACAAACGGTGACAAACTGGTGCATGTGCATCCGACTGGAACCCCGACGGCGCATCCGATTGCTGCACTCTGCACAGATGAAATTTGTGGATTCCGCCTATGGAGCCATGCTGTGCATGTGGACCACGGTTTTCCTGGTTGCTCAGCTGATCCAGCGGAGTTGTGCCGCTGGCAGAAGGAAACACGGCACAAAGTGGCTCAAAGTTGGAAAGTGGGCTGAATGGACCTTGGCAGCTGCTTTTCGTCCCCATCTCAACATGTGTGCGATCCTTCGCCCCTGAACAAAGGAACGCAACCGAACAAAAGATCGGACCGTTCGGAACACCGAACCGGACCGCAGTGCGCGCGCTTGGCCGCGCGCGCGCTTGGCATCAGGTTCGCTATAACCAGTTGCTGAACTTGAAAACCTACCGCTGGGGGATGGAAGGGGCCGAGCGGGAAATCGTGCCAGTGGCCTGGGCCGAAAGAGTGGGCGGGTGTCGGAGTGCAGTGCATTCTCCATGGAAAGACCCACGACGGTGGACAGAGACCCTTCGGTCCAATGGACCTTGTCGTTCGAGCCATTGCTAGTAGGTTGGAGGCCATTAGCTATTGGGTTTTCAGATGGTTTCAGTAGTCCTTTTCCGTGTCGATTGATGTTGACAAACCACCAGCCAGAGTGCACTGGTCCATGGGAGGATTGATACAAATATATAATCCTGGAGCAAAGACATGCTTGACATATGAGCTGGTATTGAAGATCATTGAAGTGCAATGCACTGCACCTGCACTAGGAAATTCCATCAGGACATGCATTGTATTACTCTAGTGCAAGACCTCCGTCCCGGTCACACCGTGCCTGGTCGACGTGCCCCGTCGCCCCTCAGGTCCGGAAAGAGTTTAGTGACGAATATCGTGGAAGTATCCTGGATGGATTGCAGAAGTTTGCACATTCCCTCCTATGCTTGGTCTTCATCGTGGAGACCATTGGTGCCGCGCAAGTGATCTCCTCCGTGAGCCATGAAGCGCATGCACATCCTGAGGAGTCAACAAGAGGTATTCCAAATACCACGGTGATCTTGCTGGCCAAGTTTCCTGGTTTTGCTTAGGGTCATGCGTTATATATATATAATATGTGTATATATGTGTTAATTGTTTGTAGTATTTTGTGAGGTTCATTTGGCAAATCCAAGGTATGCCATAACACTCAATATCAAGGTGGTTGACCTCATTTGGACCCCACTGTCGACTTGGCTCAGCAAGAAGGAGAACTGGCGAACCGAGCCGGAGATGAAATCCCATATGATTGTGCCCCTGCTGCATGGCATGGCATTCTCCTTTCCAAATGGGTTTAAGATAAAGATCCTGTATAAGCCCATATATGTATATATGTTAAGGCGTCCTTTCCAACGAATGGTACTATGGGATAAAACAGTAAGTGTCTATGATCGGAGTATCCGTCGGCGTTTTTGTTGCACGTTGCAGTTTCTCACCGCACCAGGAAAGGCCCCCCCCTCTAGAGAGGCCCTTTGCAGCTCGCGCTCTCGGAGGATGAACATCGTTCATGTTCTCAGGTGAAGCTCTTTGCGGTGAAATTTGTGGTTTTCTATTACCCCTTTGCGCACACCATCCTCATCCAGCCCTACTGGGGCAAGGGCTGCGATGGCGGCGAGATGTCAGGCCCAACACTGAGACCCGTGCCACTACCCGTGCCATATGGCCTTTGGTATATTATATAGTATAATTAGACTATAGTATATATTATATTATATATAGTTGTGCCAACATATTTGTTTACTTATGTTTGGCACGTTGTATGGCCACGTTGTAGTCATTCCCCCCCACACCCCAACGGACATGGACAAGTCGGGTATATGCATGAAGATATATTTAAGGGGTATTGGGCGATCTCATTTGCAATGGAGACGATCCGGCCTTGGGCCCCCCAGGCTGCGTGAGCAAGTTGAGATCGGACCTCTATTTCTTCTTTGTGTGCCAGGCGTGCAACTCGTCATCCGCTCCGAAAGTTGCGATTCAAGCAGGCGGATAAAAATGCAAGCCATTGGGCGGGCTGGGCCACCATCTAGTTTTGGAATGCTCGTGCCATGCCCGGTGTTCCAGATGTTGACTTGGGGGCCTCATGCCATGTGTTCACCAACAACGGCGAGCGATGCCATCAGGTGCTCTCTGAAGCCTTTGCTGTGTGCATGACACTGGCATCCGTCTATTGGAGCGTACGTTCAGAGTTGAAATCGAAGCGCATCTGGGCGGAAGCAGTATTAAACAAGTGGTTGCGGAGGGAAGTGTGCTCCAACATTGATGAGAGAGAGAGAGAGATGAGAGATGTATAGAGATGTTCTTTCAGGGCACGGTATGTTTGAATCCGCACCAGGCCGTCCTACTCTTGAGTGGGAGGTCCGCTGCTTTGTTTAGGTCAGCCCGACGGCCGTACTACGGCCGTAGCGCCCGTTTCGGCACCGCCGAGGAGCCCAAAACCACAAGTTCACTTACCTGGAGCTGCAGGCGCACTGCTGTGTCTGCTGCGGACGACAAACGCCGGACCCGCGTGGATGCCGCATCCATATGTGAAAGAAGACGAAGATTTCCGATCCACCTGTTGGATGAGATCCAGTACAAGCCATGAATGAACTCGTGGAGTATAGTACTAACAACCCAAGGACGACCCAAACCATGTCACAATGTGTGTTTTGACCGGTCACCTCGTGGCCGTGGATATTCCACCTGCACTACCCTAGACGCATCAGTTGGATTCGGTGTCTACAGTGACATTGATTCGTGACCCGTCGCTCGTCGCAAAGCGTGTGACCTCTTGAGAGGCAAAGGTCCCGGAATATGGTGAAGCGGAGCAGATCCAGGACTACATGCAGCTGGTGCTCAGCTTCGGCTTTATTGCAATGTCGAAAGCTGAGTCGCTTTGAACACAGACACCGACAGTAGAAGGAGACTGCGAAGATGTTCCACGGTAGATCCAACATGAAGCGAAACGTCCTTGCGCAGGTTTTTTCACCTTTGCTTCATCCAGGATTTGTGGAACAGTTCTTGCTTGACCAGATGGCACCTTTCTCTCACTAAGTGTTCACGTTCGCTGCAGAGTTGTGGCAGCTGGCTGCTCGTGTTCACTGCTGCACGTGTTGAGGTTTGGCGTCACGTGTCCATCTATGTCAATCCTTTGCTTCTTCGTGACTTTTCCCATCAAACGGCTGCTCGCATACAAGATCTCTTATGCACACCAGCGGGTGATCCCAAGGGTAGAGGAAGGCATCGGCGCCTGGCGCTCCATTATGAACTTCATCGCCTACATAGGCGTGACCTGCACCTGCTATATCGTGACTTGGTTAGAACTGATTGAAACCAAACAAGGAGCCCCAATGGCTGGTGGCATCAGCCATTTAGCAGCCTGGAACACCCAGGAAATCTTCCAATCAACAGCCCTGTCTGTTTCGCCCCTGTCGCCTTTCTTCAACCAAAAACACCTGTTTCGTCCAACATTGCGAGGTGATTTTCGTCTTCAGCATTGAACACATGGACTTCGCCAGCAAACTTCTGGTCTTCATCCTCAGTGAGCGGGCCTCTCGGACCGAACGACCGTCGGTGAGAGATGTGGACGACCTGAGGACGAGGTCCCGTCGGTTGTCTGGGCTCCTGGCGGATTCACCTGGGGCATTCCGTGAATTTGATGACGATGACTGAAATTGCTCGGAGAAACTGATGGTTGAATCCATGCTAATTATAGTCCATTTGTGTTTGTTTTTTGGGGTAGTGCGTGAATTCAGTCATGGTGAAAGGGCCTGCCTCGCCAGGCTCCACTGATCGCTTGAACTCACGCTGAACACCGAAGAGTAACGTGTGGGTAGAAAAAGAAGCATGGAAGCATGCCCACCCTGACCTGGTCCAGCTAAGTCTGGCCTCAAGAAACAATCATAGATGTTCATTTTTATCGCTAGCCAAACGTTTCATCTCAGGCCTTGATGGGGCTGAAGTGGGTCATGGAAACCTTTATGGGCACCAAGACAGTGGCACAGCTCCGAGCGGAGGAGCATAACGAGAAGGCACTGTGTTTGTTGGGAATTTGGGGGGCCAGGTCATTTTTGGCCGGTCAAGGTGAGGGGGGAAAGGAGGTTCAGGGAAGATGAGTATCTTTTGGAAGATGGCTGCTTTCTGGAGCATTCTAGAGCAGCCTTCACCAGGGCCATGTTCCAAAGCATGTTGGGGTCAGAGGAGGGTGTATAGCCTGCATGGCCTATACTGTAAGGGCGATCTTTTGGGGATCACGGACAATTTGGCTTTCTCAAACTGAAATGAGCAACTGGGTCTTCGGACTGTCCGCAGCACTCCGAGCGACACCGATGGCAAGCCAATCCGACATATCAACCAACGGCTTTGCTGAAGCTCTATGAGTCCATGCATGACTTTGTTACATAATGTTCATCACCAAGGAGTGAGCAGAGGGATAGGATATGACAGGATGTATAGGACAAGGTAGGACTGTAGAATCGGGAGCTCCTCCTGAAAGAAATGCATGCAACCGCCGCTCGAATCCATCGATTGGCATGTTGGGAAGGTCCTGGACAAAGTCTTGAACGACAACGACCACGACAAGCCCTGACGGAAACGACCGTGGTGGCATCGCGGCTCCAAAGATTGGGCAGTGAGAATGGCTAAAGGCCTGGTGCTCCTGCCGAGCGCAGCGATGCAGACCGAGTACGCTGATGCAGACTGAAGGGAGTTCGACTGTAAACTAATAGGGTGGCGGTGGTTCGAAGATGACATGGACACGATGTTCTGAAATTGGAAGACAGGGAGAACTCTTATACGAATAATACTGTACCATACATACTGAAAGGGCAGAAGGTGAAGAAGAGCGGGTGCTTCCTAGAAAGCGAGAGGGCGGCGGATCAGCCTTGGACCAACTGCCAAGTTTAATTCATCGAACTTAATGTGGTAACTGCCTTGGTGCAACCTGTGAACTGCGGTGCGCGAATGAGCCAAGCATGTGTGAAGAGGAGCCACCGAACATCAATGAACACCTTTAATGGGAGGACCCCTCTTATTCTGCAGAATTGTGCTTATGCAAAGGGCAAATGTATGCAAATGTGCTCTCTTTCAAGGGTCTCAAGGCAGCTGAAGCAAAATAATACAATTGGTTGTGGCGAAGGAATTTGTTACTGACCGACCTGAATGCTAGTTACATCTAGTTACCTTCCTAGTTGCCGAAAAGAACGGGTGACCCGGTGCCGATGTCCGCCCCGAGGACCCGAGGACCGCGGTTGCGGTTCTTGTGTCCATCGACTGAAAACAACATCGAGAACAGCCAACGGATTCAGTTTGTCCTTAGTTTTTCGGGGGGGGGGGTTGTTTGGGGTTTTGGTTTATGCCCGTGTCAGAGCTGCGATTCTGAAGATGGCGAAAGCATGCGAGTGCTGCAGTTCCGGTCGACCCACCAACTCCCCCCACGCCACTTACCATTCAGCACCCTGTTGTGTTAATAATACAACTGTTCTCTTGACCAATATCCCAGAGATCCTCTCCATGCCATGTGCGATCACGCGGCTCATGAGCTGCTTGTGTTTCCACCGAGCCAAGCTGAAGCCGACAGAGCCAAAAGGGCCAGGCCAGCTGAACGCAGCTGGACGGGCCAAAAGAGTCGAAAAGCTGCGGTTGCCATATGCCATGGCCCAAAGGATCCCAAAGGCATATATACACATATATATATATATATATGGTACCCCCCTCCTATACCCACCTCCTATCATGTTTTACTGGTATTTACAGTGTTTATATATATATATAGTTATTACAACTATACATCATTATATGTTGCAAATGATGCGTGTGTTGGAGCGAAATGCACGTTCAAGAGTCTTTTCATTGCGTCATTGGACACCTAGACCTCTGCATGTAGATAATTCAGGATAATTCCCGAGGGTAACATATTTCTACAAAAGCTTCCAATGCAGCACGGGCTTTTGTGTTTGTGGTCTGCTTGAATTTTCCGAGTGGCCACAATCAGGACGGATGGAAGCGAGCGAGGCCAGAACAAAGGCGCACATGTGTGCTGTTAGACTCCAGACCGGGTGGGCTCTAGGTGCCAGATGAGCTCCATGTGTATGTGGGCATCTGGGTCATGGTTTGTTTCTGTAGAATCTCTCATTGGTCCCCGTGTTCTCTCAAGGTTTGGGAAGAGCGAACGTTTCATCATTTTTTTCCATGTATGCAGGCTAGCCACTACACTCCGTGAGATAATCATGGAAGTGGAGTGAAAACCACCTGTTTGGTACTCGGAAAATTGGCCATGCCATCCACGTAGCCATGGATGATTTCAGGGAGTGTAATTATCCGAGGGAGCGCGAGCTGGTACATGCCCACACCAGCTGCATCCTGACTCACTAACATAGGCAAGTAGTAGAAAATCATGACCCCTCCACTAAAAATGAATTGGAGGGGGGCTACCCACGAATTGATGTTTCTCAATTATACATATTTGTTCTTTGATGAATTGTCGACAATTTTGGTAAGCACCTAAGTCGGATAATAAAAAATAATTGGCACGTTCCCAGTGTACCTTGGTCAAGCTAGCCAACTAAATTAATCGACCCCTCCTCCAGAGGCCAACCCAACCTGAATTAATTGTTGTTGCCTGGTTTTGAGTGTGATGGCTGCTTGCATGCGGTGGCCACTTTCCTGCCTGGTTTTTTGTGGGGCTGGTGACGTCGACCCCTCCTCCAGAGGCCAGCACCCCCCTGAATGAATCTTTGCCTGGTTGGCTGCTTTCCTGCTTGGTGTGCATGCAGTGGCCACTTTCCTGCCTGATTTTTGGCGTGGCTGTGGATGGGGGGTTTGCCACCTGGGGAGTGGAAATTAATTGAGGGGTTTGTCAGGTGTCGATGAGTTAGGGGGTAGGGGTGGTAAGCAACATTTATGGAAATTAAATGGGGGTTAAAGACAACCTTCAATGAACTTCCAAAAATCAGGTATGTGCTCCTTCAATTAGTTTATTTATGTTGATTTTATTAGTTGAGGGCCCCCCGGGGCCCTATCTAACGTAGGGGTCATTGGAAATCCCCCTGTTTGTAGAGGAAAACAGTCTTCCAAGGCACCATTTTCCACTTCCATGTTAGTGAGTCAGAGTGTAATTCCAGGGTCATGGTGCCTGCATCATCCTCGAGGACAGACCATTTTTCAGCAAGTTGGGAAGCATTGGAAAGCACCGACCTCCTCAGAGGCCCCGAAATGACATGAACGGCTTCCCGATTCCCAAGCAATCCCAAGTACATATGCTCTGTAGCGGAGGGCCAAAGGTGGGGTCCTATACTTTTTCAAGGGCCTATGTGCTTGGACTTCCCAGTAGATGGCCCTAGGCCATGTTTCATATGCGGGGGGAAAGGGGGGAAACCCAACTTGAGCTTTTGCAGCTCTTACGCTGAATTCATTCACTTTGATTCACTCACTCTGACTCACTAACCTGGTTTCTCCCATCGATCCTCCCAGGCGATGCCGAGAAAATCGCCAGAGGGCTGCGCGATCCGAACACCCGCGTCACCTCCGATCAGATCCAATCATGGCATCCAGGAGGATGAAAAAAAGAAGATCCAGCGGGGTGCGAAGCTGATCGTCCATGGTTTGTGAGGTTTGGGCACTAGATTCAGATGGGTGCAAGGTCAGTATACCAGTGATGCATTAGATGTAAGGTTTCACATATCATATCATATCATGAAACTATGCTGTACTTAAGTCTTCAACCACTAGTGTTGAGTTCAAGGACCCACTCAGATAACTACTGTATAGCATCATAAGAAAAATAAGCAAACCAATAGTAAGAAGGTTTGTATTGAGTTTGTTGCTTCTTTGTGTGTGCTCATGCCCTGCCAATGCGCAGCCAGATGCTAGCCTAGCGGCTAGCGATCTTCTCGGGCCACTCTTTTTCACTCAGCTCGATTGTTCTTTCCAGTCTTGTTTGGACTTGTGCCCTGCAGGGGCGCGGTAGCATGGCAGCCTGGAAAGTAATCATGCCCCTTCAGGGCACAAGTCCAAACAGGTCTTCAGCCCTCAAAAAGTTCATCCCAAAGACTTTCGTGAAGATCAGGTGCTGCTTGAATTAGTTTTGCTAGACTTTGCCTATCCGGATTTGGTCACTTTTGGCTCGAACACAGCCGCTGGAAAACGGCCCGAGCCACGCCGCCGTTTCGCCATGGCAGGTGCTGCCCAATCGCTGGCGGCGGATGGCCTGCCCTGGCCAAAGAGCAAACATGAGCCTCGGCAGTTGGAGATGTGAGCCTGGTGGTATTTGGTCGTCACTGACTTGTGCGCGTTGTATGTGTGTCCATACGGGTGTCCAGTGAGTACAGACTCTGGTGTGTTGCAGTGACTGGCTCGTTTGCAGTGTGCTGCATGGCCTATTTGTGCGATCTGGATATGTTTGCTTCGTAGCCTTGGTGCAAGATGGTGCAACACCTCCCTGATCATCCCTTTGTTCACGCAACTGCGGGGGCTTACTCAAAGCCATTGAGAAACCAACGACGTGACAGCTAGCAGGTCCTGAGTTGATGAGTTGCTCACGTCACACTCACCAAATCGCAGAATGCTGTACTAAACAGCCCTCCAGACCTTTCCTTCCGGTAGATCGGGTGGAGCCTTGGTCGATGAGCTTCTGAGGACCTGAAGCTCGACAAACCCTTGGGGCGTGGATACTTCGGTGAAGTATGGTGCGCATCTTTCAGCACACACGTTTTGACTTGAGAGAAAGTGTGGAGACATCTCCTTTTGACATATCAGCATGTCAACATCTATCAACTTGCCTTTTTCTGTTTGATCCACTGGTTATTACTGGTTGGTCAGCTTACGTCAGCTCGGGTCGCCCGTGTACTTTCTTGAGGCGAGGCTATCGTTCAGGCCGGTCTTCAACGCCTGTATGGGCTGCAACTGTGTGGCACGTAGACGTTGAATCAGGGAGCCTGCTCCAAGAGCCGGAAGACTGGCACTGGTGTGTTTTGCTGCCTGCCGATGAGGTAAAGAAGATTCCTCTATCGCTGATTGAGCTCCTTCACTGCAATTGATTGTGTGTGGCCTTTCCAGCGCAAGAGAAAATGTTTGCTGCCCTCTCAGGCAGCATGGTCTCACCGAGCAGATGAAGAGGGAGAGACCTGGCGTGCAAATGCGCTGGTCAGAGTTCCGGCTCAGGTTACTGGGGCCTTCCAAAAGGTTCCCTGAGACTCCCAATGTTTGTCTCATTTTGACTTGTTTCCCTGACACTTCAAGGATTGATATTATGAGAAGCTTACGGCATCCGCATATCGTAGAACTGCACTTCAGCTTTCAAGACGAGAGCCACGTCTATCTGGGCATGGAGTTTGCCGAGGGAGGTGGTATGTTTGACTTGCTGAGCAAGCACCTAGGACCTTACAGTACGCTTTGCCGGGAATCACTCAGACTTTATTTATGTAATTAAAGGCTTCACTAGAGGCGTTACAGCCATTCTTGTTGGTGTGAAGTGTTTGTTCTTTGTTTATATAACTTTAACTGGCAACTGTCCATCCACTCTTTGTAGCTTCCGCTGCTTCTGCTGCTTGCTTTGTAGGTATGGGAAGTTTTCCTCCGAGCTTGCAGCCCGGCACTTCTACGAAGTCTGTGATGCCTTGGAATATCTGCACACACAGACTCCACAGATCATCCACAGGCCGAAGTGGCTAGTGGATTCGGGTGGGGGATGGTGGGGGTTCAGATAGTTGATGCGGAAAGAAAAAAGGCCATCTTGAAAGGCTTAGGACGTTCTTGAAGTTCTTAAGCTGTAAGCAAATCTGGGGGAGAAAAAAAGAAAAACTTTCATCATGCTGTGAAGCTACTAGTGACACGTTTGGATTCCCGCTCACCACCAGAAACAAGCAGGCAAACGGCAATGTCAAATTGTTCAATTCGCCATACTTTTCGGTGGGGTCAGGGGGATACTTAGTGCAGGGCAAGATCCCGTGACATGCAGATCGCATGAAAGGATATGAAAGGCATTTGCTTCGCTTGAGGGACTTCAGCGAGCCCGCTTTCCCCCCCCCGCAGACGGCAGACGGAGCCGAAGAACCACGAAAGGGGGGGGCAAGCGCAGCGAGGGGCTTACCGATATCGGATGGTGTTTCAGGGACATCGTTGGCATCAGATCCGAGATCGGATGCAAACATGTTTGTCAGGGACATCAAGCCTGAGAACATTTTGCTGGACAAAGAGCAGCATGCAAAGCTGGCTGACTTTGGATGGTCCAACGTCCTGGAGAACGTGTCCTATAGGCCGGTGGGACAGCGTTTTCACGCCTGGATGTAGGGTTCTGGCGGTTTGGAGGACCTTGAGCTTCTCACATTTTATGAGGTGTCATTGGTTTCATATGCAATCAGGTTCGATTTGTTTGATGCAATTGCTCAAGAGATGGAGTTCCGGTGCTTGTGTTGGTGCCAAGCACGGTTTTTCCTAAAATTTTAGTCACAGAGCATGATAGCTTCTCCTTTGCTTAACTTAAATCCTATATAATCCTGGATTGTTGCTGGACTCAAATCCTATATAAATAATCCTATATCATCCTAGGATATACTTATAGGATATACATATAGGTGGCTTGTTGCTGATAGGCTGCCCACAAACCCGCGTTTCTCAGGGCGACCTTTTGTGGCACACCCGACTACTTGGCCCCCGAGATGATTCGCGGGGAGGGCCACAACGAAAGTCTGGACATGTGGGAGATGGGTGTGCTGCTGCGGCTTGGCTGATGGTCGAAGGTCAACTTCCGCAGATCAATCGGTCAGTTGATTGATAGTTGTGCCGTTACGGAGTGGTCATCTTTGGTACGATGCGAGTGTGTGTGCAGGCTTCAGCTACTGTTATGGGTGTCCTTTTTTTTGGCCTCGATTTCTGGAAGAGGTTACTACGTCTGCGGGTTCAGATGCGCCAGTTTTCCAGTAAAGCGGGGTAAGAAGGTGTTCCTGTAGCAGGATGTGTCAGGGCACTTTGCCAGTCCAAGAATCAAAATTGAAAGGGTCCATCTAGGGCAGCTGAGGCAGCTGAGCAAACGAGAGACGGTGGTTTGCAACATCGGACGGTGGTAAGCCCTGCGGTGTTTCGCAGTTTTTACCGCTGCCAAGGTATGAGATGACCGTGGGCAAATCTCCCTTTGGCGGAAGCAATCAGGATGAGACATGCCGCAACATTCTGAATCTTGGCCGTAACAACTGGCTGAGACTCGTCATCTCCTTTGGTTCGTTCTCCACTGTAAGGAGCTGCAAGCTGAAGTTTCCACCTGGTTTAGAGCCATTGGCAGAGGCAGGGCACGAACAAACCACAGCAGCTCGGACTGTTCCGGAACGGCACCACCACCCCCTGGTGCGTGCACCCCATTGGAGGCCTTGCATCGGCCAAGCCTTGGAAAACGCATGAAAATGCTGGAAACTGTTGGAGACACACACAGATTCACCGTGCGCGGTGGGGACACCACGTGCAGGATTGCATCAAGAGCTTGTGCAAGTCGAGGCCACAGGCCAAGGGTTCAGCCGTTAGGATCAGCCAGTTTGTGTTATAAGTGCTGAGTTGTTTTTAATGTGATATTGATATGGCCCAAAAGGCTAGCACTTTTGATCATGCATTTCCAAACCAAACGCAAGCCGCAAATGTTCGATCTATAATCCATCAGGAGGGCATAGGAGGGCCTATGGTTGTTTGGGGGCGCATTGTCACATGCAATCAAGGTTACGCCACTTGCTCCAAGAGGGGCAGCTGTAGGTTTAACACACACACACCAAAAAATGTTTGACGCCCTTCATCTTGAGAGCCATAAGTGTATGCACGTGTTCTGGCACGTTCTGGCGACAATTCGCTGCTCGTTTTGGGGTTAGGAGCGCCTCACGGCTGCCCAAGCCAAATGCCATGACTTTGTGAAGAAGTTCCACGCTGCGGCGCGTGCGAAGGACTAGTGCGGACATATAGGAAGTTCATGGAACATATGTGTAGAAGACCTAGAGAAGACACACGCAACGGGCAAATACACAGAAGAGTTAGTCAAGGCGGTGCCAAACCCCTTTGAGATGAAAGGCCAGCTGGAACACCTCAAGAAGCGGGCCCGTCCGAGACGTATGCTTGGTCAGATGAGGGAATTAAAGGCGCAGCTCATACGGTGAAGTGAAGTGAGGGTTCTGCAAGAGGATTTCTTTATGCAGCCAGGACGTACAAGAAGATGCTGGAAGACCATCTGTAGAGGCAGTCTCGCTCCGTTGTTCCGCGCATCATGAGCGAATCACGACACAAACAGTATTCAAAGGCGGCTGTAACACGGTGAAGCATGTTGTCCTGCATAGATAGAGTTTACGCCCTTATGATCGTTGTTTCTTTTGGGATTGCCAGGCCACAGTCCCAAACACTGGAAGATCCAAAAACTTTGTGTTCCACACAGTTGTTTCATGTTTCATTAAGGACCTGTTCTTCTGAAGGTTGTTGAGAACAAGCAGGTGCCCAAAGCCATTCACCAAAAGGGCTCCTAATTACTCTGTTTCAGGTCTTTGGTGGCCCTAACCCCCAGCCTAACTCCGTGCCTTCTTGGAGCTCCGAGCAACGACCCCCAGCCTCTCGTCGGTCGCGTCTTCGGCTTTTTCATGCTTTTTCCACAGCCGCCGCCTGGTACCAACACCGCCGACGCGTGCCATGGCTGAGGCGCGAAACCTGCGCCGGAAGAATGAGATTCTCCTCAACGAGCACACTGAGCTCCTTCAGCAAAAAGCCCACAAGGACAGGTCTGACGGCACGGCATCGACTGCAGGACACCATAGGACACCTTTGAGAGAGGGTTTGCGGATGTATGCGGGTATGCGGGGGGGGTCGGGCATGGATGAAGGTGGTCGATGTGAGTTGTGCAAAAGAAAGACTTTGAGCGAAGAGATGGGGATGGAGGGGCTGCATCTCCTAGGGTTCAGTCTCACTGTCTCAGCGTCATTGGTGCCAGGAGGGGGGAAATTTTCAAGATCGACGAGCAACTGGAGGCTCAGCTTGCATGTGTCCGGGTTGGGTTCGTCCTTTGTCGCTTTCCAGTGCGCTGTTGATTTGTTGGGAGGGTGGACTGCCGTGGCGGTGCAGGAGAAAGTTCAACTGCTCCAAAGAGAAAAGGGCAAGAGAGACCAGGCAGTGAAGACTTGGACATTAAGGGAAGCAAGGCAACCACAGAAATTAATGAGAGACTCAGACCAGTCAATTGTAAAATCAAAAGCCTGCTGCGAGCATGATCGAGCATGACAGCTGGCAGGCAAAGAAAATACTTGAAGAATTGCAGGCTTTGGAGAGGCTCGACACTGACGTTTTGCGTGGCCCTGCTTTGTCTTTTCGTTGATGCATTTTCGACTGCAGGGAGCAGCTCGAGGACGGAAGTTGCAGGGGGTTCAGCTGGGCGGCCAGAAAACTGAGCAAAGCCAGGAATTTGTAGTTGTGGAATGTTGTGGAGCGATTGTCAGAAAAAAATCGGCATCTCATATGCGTCATATGACACACTATCTCATGCCTTCAAGACTCTTGCCCGTCCCACCATCCGCAAGTACCCACCACCATCCACCAGCATGCTGACCATCCTGGCCCTTGTCTTCGCAAAACGTTCGCCCGTTGAATCCAACCTCATCGTTTTTGCTTGGCGTGTCGGGACATCGTTGAATCCAGGAGCTTCGACTGCTCGAAGCAGCGGAGAGGCCAGCTGCTCCTTTGTGAGCTGAGTTCGGCACACCGTCTGAGCAGCGACATGGAAATCCCGGAGATCTGAAGCGCAAGAAGAGCCCTTTTGGTTGGTGAATTTGTGAACCATTTTGTGTTTGATATTGGGTGAAGTTGGATGATTTGGACAAATCTTCCCATGTGGCCACAGGTTTAATTGGATGATTTCGGATTCTGTGAGAGGCCCAAACCTCTTTGGATCTCCCCACATGAATTTAGGTCTCGCTGCTTGGGCGGGAAGAAAAAGCCTTGCACATCGGGTCCCGTTGGACCAACCGTGTTGGCTGCTATCAGCTTTGACACGGACATGTGGTTCAACATGTTGTCAAGAAAAAGGATCAAGTAAAGTCGCCTTTCTATATATTTGGATTTAGCTGTCATAGTTAGACATACAGATTGGTGCACATCTATGCCAATCCACGTGTTCCAATGCCTTTGCTTCTTGTTGCAGGCCCGCCATATAGATATTTGCATTCCTTTCCGGGGGGGGCAGGTCGCACACAAAAATGCGAGCAAACATCAGCTCTGACAAACACGCGTGACCAAACATTCAGCTCGCTGGGTCATATCATATCCAAGAATTTGTGTCCCAGTACCAACGGATCACAGCCATGGCCGCGGTGATCGAGGATGTCGATGATGATGTTTGTGCAGTTCAGGCACGGCCATGCCAAGTCCGTTTTTCTAGCGGGCCCTGGAAAGTGTTTGACATGCTGACGCATCTTGCAGGTGACGAGGGACAATGTGCCCCAGTCCACCAAGCAGCCTGGCTGATCCTGGCTGAAGAGGAATGGATGCGAAGCCATTGGCCCGAGGGAGGAACAAGGAAGCTACTGGAGGTTCGTGGCCTTACTACTAGGAACAAGGGCGATACTAGTAACAAAGGGCATCGCTACTAGGAGCAAGGACGCTACTAGGGGCATCCCGGTTGTTGATAGAATTTGAGAGATGTTAGGCCACCGACTCCAAGAGGTCTTCCAACTGATGGCTATGTGTGCAATTTAAACAAGGAGACGCCCTGCCCCCCAATCGTTGTTGAACGATGTTCTTTCTTCCCGATGTGTTGTGACGGTTCTCCTATTTTTAACATACACCCAAATGCGAGATAATGCGAGCATGAAATTGGTGGTCAGGGATTGCCACACGGAAAAGTCTGCAATTGTAAGCACCGGAAGATCTGGATGATGTTGTTGGGCTACATTGATGAGTGACAGATGATTCTGCTGCAGAATGTTAATGTTGTTTGGGAACAAGAAAGGCTGTGCCCTGTTAGTTACATATTGTATTTCACACGTTTTCCATTTGGGGTTCATACCTCCCGAAAACCCACGTGGACGAAGGCTATTGTCGCATGGTGTTCCTTGAAAAACCAGGTGTCCAGGCCCTGCATGATTTCATTTGCAAACTAACGGTGGCATGATATATGATGTGATATCTACGGTGGATCCCCATCATATGACACGTTTTCACTCCACGTTTCGACTTCAGGGACATTTGCATCGAGGACGACGCTGATGATGCCGAGGCCGCGAGTCGCGAGTTTCTCCGTTGCAAGATGTCCGACGTTTAAAACAGAAAGAACATCCCTTCAGTTCGGAAAACAAACGCCAAAGATTGGGAGGTTTAGAGGCTTTGTTCTATATATAGGTTCTTGGGCGGTTCAACAACATACCAGATCTTTTTGGGACTTCCAGCCCTGAGCCAGATGTCGATAGAACCGTGCACGGTAAAAAGTGGGGTCCCTTTACGGCCATCCGCAAGGCCGTTTGCGTTTCCATCTCGCAAGACAAAGCTGGTACCAAGCGTCCGCAACTTAGACAAACAAACGTTTGTGAGTTACCTTGCCGGTGAATCGGAAGCAGTAAGCAATCACAACAAACTGCACTATAAAAATCAAGGGACCTGGACGTAGTGTGTGGTTTCCTGATCCGGCGAAGCACGCCAAAACCTGGGTGGACCCAAGCTCTCTCTTTCGATCCCGAGATCGGTCTAAAAGAACCTCAGGTCCAGTGACCCTCGTGGAGTCCGACTCAGACAGTTCCAGCTCAGGCGCGACGCGCGGATCCGGTCGTCCACCTACTGTTCGAGACGATTTCTGTTTGCATCAAGCAGTGAGGTCTCAATAGTACACCTCAAAAAGAATGATCTCCTCAAGGTTGGGACATGAGATTTCCGCCCAGTGCCGCTCCTCATTCCCTCGCGGGTTGGGTGTTTTCAGTTCCCAGATTGGTGTTTTCCCTTCCCGTGGTGTTTCCTTTTCCCAGATTGGTTTTTTCGGTTCCCGTGGTGTTTCTGGTTCCCAGGTCTTGGTGTTTCCAGTTCCTGGATTGGTGTTTTTCCTTCCCGCCTTCTGTATTGTTTTTTTTGGTTCCCACTCTTGGTGTTTTCCCTTCCCGGAGTTCTCCCCCCCCAGGTCTGTGTGTTTTCAGTTCCTGGATTGCTGTTTTCCTTGCCCAGCTCCTGTGTTGGTGTTTTTGGTTCCCAGGTTTGGGTGTTTTCAGTCCTGGACAATGTGTTCCCTGCAGCTCCTGTGTTGGTGTGCCCTTTCACGTGTTTGTTTGTCAGCTTTCGTTTGAATTTCTGGCTACCATTGCCCACCGCTGGATTTGAAAGCACGTACTCGTGTCACACAAGTAAACAGACAAAGAACACCGCAAAACCGTCAAAGCCATTCGCTGTAAAAACATGTCAGTTTGCGTAAACCCACTGCCGCAAAAACACAAGGTACCCGGTGACACCATCATAACCGCGCACTGTACGAACACATAGACGAAAGCATACAGAGCTTCATTTTTG